TGCTCCTCCTCCACTCATGCTCCGTCTCTCTCTCCCTCTCTCAAAAATAAACACTAAAAAATTACAATACTGACCATCACAGAGCACAAGTATCTGTGTAGAGAAGAGACTGACACAGGGCATCTTCCTCAAGAAAGCTGGGTCCCTCGGACCCCTACTTCCATCCCAAGTTCACAGTAAGGCCACACAGAGGGAGATTACCTTCATAAATTGGGTGACTGGTATCCAGAAAGCCAGAATTCATTGTGAGGTCAGATTCCCAGCCTTAGCAATGAGGGGCATGGGAGGGAGGGGCCAGGGTACTGGTGTGCATGTGGGGGTCATGGGCCCAAGGTGCAGAACTGCCCCGCTCCCCCACCCAGCAATCCTTCCATTTACTCACTTCTTTCCCAAGCCTGTTCCCCTGTTTGCTCATGATTCATCAAGGGGCCCCCACATATCCTTATTCATGTACTTATTCACATCTTGATTCATTCCCCCTCCTGCTCATCCATCCCACAAACATTTATTAGAGCCCACTCTCTGTGGGATTCCAAATCTTAAGGCTTCTGAGTCCCTGAAGAGCGCTCTGCCCCTTGTCCTTAAGGAGGGGGCTCCCACGGATGACTCAAGGAATACATACACAGGCATTTCAAAACTGGCTTTAAATACTCATCAGGGCGCCATGAAAAGGGGATGGGGTGAGAACTTGTTACATATGAGTATGGGGTTGGGGTGCCCTGAGAGAGAAGGGGACCCATCCGTCAGGGCAGCTGGGGTGCCCCACCCCCACCCTGGGACAAGGAAGCAGAGTAGAAGCCCTCTCTGGAGGGTCCCAGGGCCAACTGGGAGCCAGCCCTCCCTTCGAGGTAGATCATCGGGGAGGGAACGGAGGAAGAGCTCCCATGGTGGTGATGAGAGGCAGTCACTTCCTCAGTGGTATTGCTGATAGCTGGGATAGCCTGGGGCTGGGGTACCCTCCTTAGGGGGCAGCTGGCTGGGGTCCTCCAGGAACGGGGGTGCTGGAGAGGAAAGAATCAGGTAAGGGTAAGAGGCAGCACACAGGCAGAGCAGAGCATCCTTCCCCTCTCCCTGAGAGCGTCGGCCAGGTACTCACCATTGCGGAACTGTTGGGCAGTGTAGCGAGTGAGGAGGATGCCAACACCCTCTATGAGGGCCAGAAGGATGCCCCCCATCATTGCCGAGCCCACCATGGCCAATGGGCCACCTGGGAGAGTGAAGAGGCAGGGAGAAAGAGGTGAGGGAGGCAGAACAGGGCAGAAGGGGCTGGGGCCGGGGACCGGGGCACTCACTGCGGGCAGCCAGCACAGCCCCAGTCAATGCTCCACTGGTGATGGAGTTCCAGGGATCTTCCTTGCCCCTCAGCCGCACCAGGCCGCAGTCAATGGTGGAGAACAGGCCCCCCCACACCGCGAAGCTACCTGCAGGGAGACCGAGGCCTGATTAGTGTTCCCAAGGAATCCCAAGAATCCACAGCACAGGGTCTGGGGACCTCCAAGGCCTGAACGCGCTGGCAATGAATGGGCAGAAAAACCCAGACACAAAGACAGACTACTGAAGTCCCACGGGATATTCCCCATCTGCCACTGTGACTGCTCCTTCTTCAAGCGCCCGATAATCTCCAGCAACATCCCCTTTACATTCGTAAGGGTCTAGCAAGTGTTTGCAAGCAGATTTATCTTCTCTATGGCTTTTAAGAGAACTACTTTGATCTTCCTAACCATCGCACAGAGTTGGGAATTCCGATCTTGGTTTAAGAGAGAAGAAAGCAGGTTAGGAAAGCCAGTTAACAGGATAGTTAAAGGCCTTACTCAGGACCTGTTCTAGGCACTGCACGTGATCTGACTTCTGAAGTCTTAAATTCGTTCATATTATTCAAGTGCTTAGCAGAACAACCGGCACTTAGCCAAATACGACGTAAATTACGGAAATTACAAAACAACTTAGGTGGTTATTGCTATCATCATCCCCATGTTACAGATGAGGTTTGGAGAGGTTAAGCCACAAGCCCAAAGTCATACATCAGAGAAGATCCGGGGCCTGGATTTAAACTCCAGAATTGGGGCGCCTGGGTGGCTTAGTCGGTTAAGCGTCCGACTTTCACTTAGGTCATGATCTCACGGTTCGTGGGTTCGAGCCCCGCGTCGGGCTCTGTGCTGACTGCCAGCTCAGAGCCTGGAGCCTGTTTCAGTCTGTGACTCCCTCTCTCTCTGACCCTCCCCTGCTCACGCTGTCTCTCTCTCTCTCCTAGAAATAAATAAAAATATTTAAAAAAAAAAATAATAAACTCCAGAATTGAAATACTCGCCCCCTCCGAAACATCAGTGACCCAGAAGTCCCCAGGTGGAGTTGGGGCTGGAATCTGTACTCCCAATTTGCAGTCTATGCCCAAAGGAGCAACCACCCCCAACTGGGCTTCACATCTCCTAGGTCTCTCCAAGCCTCTCACCTCCAATCTGGGGGGCTCGGATCCTCACGGCGTTGACACTACCTCTCAATCGGTGCCGTATTCCCTGGGAAAAGTGAGGAGGTGGGGAGTCAGAACAGGGATGAGGTCCCTGGCATACAGGGTTTCTAGCTCTTAAGAAAGGCAGCGTGATGGATTAGGGGTATCAGGAAGAGAAATGTGGAGAAGTGGCCAAGAACTAGGAGGCTGGGGAGCACTCTAACACGGGTGTCCTCAGACCTGCACTGAGAAGTTGTTATTCGTTCAATGATTACTAGCACCTAAGTGCCAGGCACCATGCTGTAATGCAGGGATAGTGAAGGAAACAGACCTTAGCCCCTGCCCCCTCAGAACTCATGTTATAGTGGGAGAGACAGATTCCCCAGCAGAAGTACAGATAAACAAGATGCTTCAGACAGCAATACATACTCTAGAGGAAATAGGATCAAGAGATATAACACTGAGGGTCAGGAAAGGATTCCAAAGGAGGGGGCATATGTGCTGAGACCTTGAGGATGAGAACAGGAAACCTGGACAAGGATCCAGGAAAGTGTGTCAGGAGTTGAGGGGAGGGACAGGACTAGATATGTAAGTTGCAGGGACCTTGGCAAATGGATGGCATTTAAAGCCATGACATTTGAGAAGATCTTGGGAGAGGGTGGTCAGAGAGAGAGAATTGATTAGGTTAAATTAAAAGCATTTTAATTTTAAAATGCCTGGCTGGCTGGGTCAGTAGACCACATGACGCTCGATCTCAGGGTGGTTCATGAGTTCGAGCTCCACGCTGGGCATTAAGCCTACTTAAAAAAAATAAATAAGGAAGAAATAAAAGCATTTTTCTTAACTTTACGGCGGTGCTTCTCCTGCCAGTTAAACTCCTGTCATGTCTCGGTACAGGTTTGACCCAGAATCCGCCTCTGGGTAAAATCTTTCTGGCTTTACACAAACAGGATTTGGTAATGATCGTTTTGACAGCACAGCATTTCCACAGAGGAGCTCCAGTTGCGTGGTGGGGGAGAGGGGGTGGTGGTGAGGGACATGCGGCCCTGTCTGCAGTTCTCCCCAAACCACATATCCTGGAGCCAGGCAGGGCACACGGTAGGTGAGCAGGCATTGTAATGAGTAAGTGCATACGACTGGCAGCTCCAAGCACTTTTCAGAGCAATATCCCATGTGGGCAAGGAAGGACCCCCTGCACCACCCACGGAAGGCCGCAACTCACGACAGGGGCATTGCGGAAGCCCTTGATGGCCTGGAAAACTCCACCACCGATGACGCCCATAGTGAAGGCTCCACCGCAATCGTCCACAATTCGCCATGGGCTGCAAGCCGGAAAGGGAGGATGGGGTTAAGTGAGCCCCTCGTCCCCCTCTCCCCCCCACCCCCCGCCAGGTCACAGGGACTCTTTCCAACTGGGAGAAACCAAATCACCCGAATGGGAAGCAGCACTTCAGATGAGATTATTTCCCCCCCTCACTTATGCAAGAAATGGTGCAAAAGGGGTAAGGATTAGTCTTTGCCCGGCCCGCACCTCCCCCTGCAGCCAACCAAGGAATCAGCCAACTGCTTCACTACCATCAACAGATTAAGTGAACTCATGCTAGCAGAGTGGGCACGTGTAAATCAGCGTTACCTAAGTGTTAATTTGCTAGTGATGCTATTAAAGCGGTAAACGGCCGCAACCCCCGTCTCCGACGATGAGCACGTCCAGCCAAACCCCTCCCGCCGCCGCTGGTAAAAACCAAAAACGGACCGTGGGGAGGACCCAGCTCGTCCACAATAGGCTCACCCAGGACCCGCCCCCATCAACTAAAGCGACTAGGGAAAAAACACGCGTGGTAACCCTGGGGATTTCCACTCGACACCGCGCCACCCCCCGGCTGGAATGGATTCGGCCAGCGTGTCTCTTTTCGTTAACAAAGAGGGACTGGGGAGATACGGAGTCGAGGGGAACGTGGAGTGGTCGGTCCTGCGCGGCACCTTCTCCAGGCACACGGCCGTTGGCCCCTCTTAACGGAGCCCGCGTGGGAGGAACGGAGCTGAGAGTAGCGGAAGGAGACCACAAATGTCTCAGAGTCTCCCGGGTCTGGGACGTGGCGCGGTGTGGCCGGCGCCTCCCCCGCCCGCCTCCCACAGCTGGCCCTGGCGCCGCAGCAACAGTCCCGAGGCCTGTGCCCATCGCCGTACCAAGGCTCGCGAGCGTACTCCTCCATGGCGCCGGCGTCCGGCCGCGCAGTCTGGCTAAAGCCCGGCCGGGCCACGCCTCCACTGTAAACGCACACAGGCGCCGGAGCTTGCCACCTATTCCAGGACAGCGATTGGGTCGTTTTGCCGCTCGTCACGACAAGTTCACACTATCATTGGCCATCCAGGTTTACGTCACTGCACTGCAGCCCAAACGTCCTCCAGTTACTTCAAGGCTCAGGGAGAGACGACCTCATTCTGGGCTTTGGCAGAAGGCAGTCGTATGGCCCTGGCGATCTCAGCGGCGACAAGAGAGAGGCAGCCCGTCTGACAGCCTTCTGCTACTCGCGTGACTGTATTGGTAGTGTCGGGGTGGGCTCATTGTTTTGGAGCTGGAGGAAGGGCTGCGCTTTGCTCCCCCACCCCAGCGCCTTGGTTCCTCCTACCCAGCAGTCTTTGGGGGAAGTTGGGTGAGCCCATTCCTAGGGCGCGGGGGAACTGAGCTTGGCCCCTTTGGCGGTGGGCGGAGCCTGAGCCTGGGAGAACAACTGGGTCCTGGAACACCCAGCCTGGAGGGGAGGGTTGGTGAGTTTTGGTGGCATTGCCACCTATCTTCCATCTTTTAGCGCATAGGTTCCGTCCACCCAGCTTTTGGTGCAGGTGGGTAAGCGGGGGTCCAGATGAGCACATGGCCGCTTGGTTTTAGGATTGGGGATTTGAATTCTCACTTTAGCTGTTTTTTTGCCTGCCTGTCCGTCCATCCCTAGGTCTGTCGGCTCTCCGCTATGCCGCTGCCTGTTGCGCTGCAGACCCGCTTGGCCAAGAGAGGCATCCTCAAACATCTGGAGCCCGGTGAGCGAACTAAGAGCAGATGGGCCTACCATGTGCCAGGCTTGACAGGCACTTTGTTGTTGATACTGCCATATGATACCTAGCATGGGCCTTACCACGAATCAAGCAGTGGGGTGGTGGGCATTTCACTGATAACAATATGGGTTCCTGATGTCCATTCCTGTTTCATCCTTAATACTGGCAGCTAGTGTCATGTGCAGTCCATCAGAAAATCCGTGGAAGTGATTATAAAGTATATAACACTAAGGTCAGCTGGCAAGGGTAAAAGGAAAATATGATACTGAGACTTTGTTCTTTATCCTACTGGTTGACACCATTATTTCAGACCTATTGTGGTGCGAAGCATTATGCTAGTAGTGATCTATGCCTCATTGTGACCAAACCAGTGGCTGACCCGTATTTGGGGCCTAAGTGCTTGGTGTACACATTATGGTTAACAGTAAAAAATCATGATAGGCTCTATCATTTACATGCCTACTGTGCTGCTGCCAATATTTACACCTCATGGTCAGTTATAGTAAAAGCTGGAGTTTGTTTTGGGCTGCAGTGTGCTAGGCACTGGAAAGTACATCTTATTTTCATCTTCTTGATAAATGACATCTATCGCAAGCTACTGTGTGCCAAGCATAGATCTTGCGGTTAATAATACTGATAATGATCATCGATCATCTATTTTAAAATTGAGTACCAAGCCCTGTGTTGATGGTATATGTATCTTACTAACGGTATTGATGCTTACAGCTGACATCTTCTCGGGCCCATTGTGTGACAGGCAGCATACTGTTGCTGACATATACATTTACTTGTTAGTTAGATCCACAGCTGAAATCTGTGGTAAGGCCTACTGATGGTCATGCACTGAGCTGACAACCTATGCCTTTTTATTCTACTGCTAGTGCCAACTGTTGCAGGCCTACTGTGTGTCAGGCCTAGGAACTGAATGGATTCAGAGCAGTGTTTGGACCAATCCCTTGCTACCCAGACAGAGTCCAAAATCCTATCTTTGTCAAGCTTGGGAACTGAACAGATTTGGACATATTTTCAGCTAAACCCTGTACTGTTCAAACTCATTTTACCCAAATAAATTTGGATAGCATGGTGTCACGTGCTTCCTGAACGCAGGCGCTGGAGGAAACATTTGTTTTGATGAAGCCCTATCTAAATTCTGAAACTAGATAGGTTTGGGTGACAGTATCAAATCTTACCTGAGCCCAGAAATAGAAAGGATTTAGGCTAGGTTTTTGGCAAATCTTCAGACACTTGGATTTGGAATGTGAGTGACGTCTGCCACCACAGGTGAGACCCGGAACGCACGTGTGTGCGCACACACATACACACACGGTCCATGTGAATCTGAGTGTCTCACCAGGCTCTGAGTGTAGGATGAGAATCCCTCGGGTCCTTACTGCTTTCCTCCATCCCGCTGTCCTGCCAGAACCGGAGGAAGAGATCATTGCTGAGGACTATGATGATGACCCTGTGGACTATGAGGCTACCCGCTTGGAGGGCCTGCCTCCAAGCTGGTACAAGGTGTTTGACCCTTCCTGGTGAGCCTGGGGGACTGGAGCGGGGGGCTGACTTCTGACTTCACCCTTCCTGTGCTGTCCCTGGTCTTGGGGTAAATGGGGAACATAGGGAAGAGGGTTGGGGGCCTTCCCTCTGGGGTCCTGACATGGGGCAAGTATAGGCAGAGATCGGGGAAGTCAAGAGTTGAGGCTACGAGGAGAGGACATCTATGCTGACACTCCTTCCCTCCCTCCCTCCTTCCCTCCCACTGCCCCACAGCGGGCTCCCTTACTACTGGAATGTGGACACAGACCTCGTGTCCTGGCTCTCCCCACATGACCCCAACTCGGTCGTTACCAAATCTGCCAAGAAGCTCAGGAGCAATAATGCAGGTGAGTTGACAGATACAAGGGTGCCTCACGTGCTTTGCAGCTCTCAGAGAGGGATCAGGTAAATGGTCGTGGATCAAAGAGGGGCAGGTGAGGCAGCCAGGCCCATCCCCTGGCAAGGGAGGTTGTTGAAGGCAGAGGCTGCTGGGTCCCGAGTCACTTCAAGGATTTTGTGCCCCCAGACGCTGAGGAGAAGTTGGATCGGAGCCACGAGAAGTCGGAACGGGGCCACGAGAAGCCGGAACGGGGCCACGAGAAGTCGGAACGGGGCCATGAAAAATCAGAGCGGGGCCACGAGAAGTCTGACAGAGATCGAGAGCGTGGTTATGACAAGGTGGACAGAGAGAGAGAGAGGGACAGGGATCGGGATCGTGACCGCGGGTACGACAAAGCGGACTGGGAAGAGAACAAAGAACGGCGCCATCATCGCCGAGAGGAGTTGGCTCCCTACCCCAAGAGCAAGAAGGGTAAGTGGAGCAGCAGGGCCAGGACACGGGCAAGGCAAGTGAGGCACCGCGGGTGAGCCGCGTAAGGGAAGTCCTCGCTTTGCACATGCGACTGCCTGAATCTGGGTCCTGGGCCAAGGTGCTGTGGGCCATGGCAGCCACGGGCTCCATTCCTTCCTGGGATGGGGAAGCTTGGTGATCAGGGGCTCCTCGTGCCTCCACTGAAGACCTCACTCTGTCACCTACTTCCACAGTGGCAAACCGGAAGGATGAAGAGTTAGACCCCATGGACCCCAGTGCATACTCGGATGCACCTCGGTAAGTGACGACGCCTCACGAGCCCTTCTTTCTTTCCTCCTGACTGACTTGTGTCAAAGACCATTCCTTTTCTCCTTTCCCCATCTGTCAGTTGTTGGGAGTAGGGGAGAGTGCCTACCACAACCCACATTCCCAACCCCTGACCCATATTCTCTAACCCTTGTCACCCCCAGGGGCACGTGGTCAACAGGACTCCCCAAGCGGAATGAGGCCAAGACGGGTGCAGACACGACAGCAGCTGGGCCCCTCTTCCAGCAGCGCCCCTACCCGTCTCCAGGGGCTGTGCTCCGGGCCAACGCTGAGGCCTCCCGAACCAAGCAGCAGGACTGAGCCTCCCACTCCCCCACTCCCCACCCCCCACCCCCCCAAGGAGTTTTTAATAAAGGATTTTCGATGGATTCTGACCATGAGTGCTTCCTTCCCGTGCACTTTTGAGGCTTCCCAACCCAAACCAGCAAGATGCAAAACACATTTTATTTGCAAAAACTCACCTAAGAATGTGCGAGAGTGGCAGGGCTGGGGGGGGGGGCGAGGCTGGGGCGGGTTCCTTCCATGCCCTCATTCCTAGAGTTTGGCCATGTTAGCCCTGTGTGAGTGTGGGGGGTGGGGGGGGACACGGAGGGGTAGGGCCAGGGAGGGTTCGGTGTCTACCTCCCCCCACCCCTAATACTGATCAGAGTTTGGTCCTGGCTGGGCCGGGACAAGAAGGGAGAACGAGGCCAGGCCAGCATCTTCAATCCCAGCAGCTACGAACCCTTCACCTTGGTGAGCAACCTGTGGTGGGAACGGGGAGGAAAGAAAAACACAGAGAGCTTGGGGTGGGCTGGCCAGGTGGGCGTCCTGAGCAAGCGAGGGCGACAGTTGTGAGGCTGGTAGTCCTGGGGTTAGTAATAGAGCCCCCGCAGACAGAGTAAGTCCCCTGGGTCAGAAAGCTACACGTGGACTAAATAAATACAACATCTTTATTTGGCATTGGGTATCCTGACATTTGTTCATTACAGTTCCTTAGAAAACAAACCAAAAAATCAGAACAAATTAATCAAAAATAAAGATCCAATGAACCTATTTACACATAGCAAAATCAGCCCAGGCATCTCCCATGCGTGCATGTGCGCACACGCACGCAAACACACGCACGCACACACACATCCTGGGAGACAGTTAAGGGGTTAATAAGCTTTGGGGAGTGCGGGGGGGGGGCAGGTTCCACATTTCAGCCATTTTTAAGACACCTTTGCCCTGTCACAAAGTAAGGGTGCCTCATACAGCCGGTGCGTATGAAGAGTGTGGTTGGCAGCTTTATTCTCCCTCTCGGGACGTCTTGGGAAATAACCCTCCATCCAGCAACCGACAGTGTCTTAGGTTCGGTGAGATTCAATCACTCCAGCGACCTCCCCTGCCTGCTTTTCCCATACCCTGGATCATGAATTATCCCTTCACACCACAAGTTCCTAAACCCTAAAAAACAGATAGCCCCAACTGCACCCTCCCCTGGGCCAGGAGAAAAATCTCAGCTCCTGCCTCTTCCTCCCTGGGGTGCTCACAACAGGCCCTTTTTTCAATGGGTCTCCTGTCAGGAAAGCTGCCCCAAGGCCACACACACCAAAAGACCAAGCTGCTAATGATCCATTGTGGGTTGTGAGGGAGGCAAGAAGGCCTCAAGCCACAGGAAGCTGAACCCCACAGACCAGCGGTATCCATCACTAAAGAGCTGTAGGATTTTTGTCCAATTTGTCCTTACAAAGGTGGAAGGATTGCTAGGAGGGGCTCTCCCAGTCATGGAAGACAGGACGCCTCCAGCTAAGGGCAGGCAGACAAAAAAAGGCCTTGAATGACAATACTGCCAACCTGGTCCCCAAAGGGGTTTCACTGGGGCAGAAGGAGGCAGCTCTAAGAACCCCCTCCTCTGGGGAGGTTCAGTCTACAAGGAAGGGTTCGTGTGATGCCCCACCCAGTCCCACGCCCCTCCAGAATTCTCCATGACCCAGGAGAAAAGACTCCGTTCATCCCCAGAGGAGCCAGGCCCAGCAGCAACTCAGGTCCTGCAGTTGCCCAACACCCTCCACCCAGTCCCCCTCCCTGTCTCCCCCACCGCCACCAGCCCTCACTTCACCAGCACTGACTTTGGCAGAAAGGGCTCCGTGCTGAGGTCTCCGCGATGGGAAGATAGCTTCGGTGGCGGCGGCTGCCCTGGAGGCTGCTGGTGAGTGCAGGGCCCGGAGGTGGAGGCAGAGGCAGAGGTGGAAGCTATGGCTTTGGTTGCACCTCGGGGAAGGCTGTAGAGGTAGACGGCACCGATGACCAGCCCGGCGCCAAGGGCAAACAACGGGTCCACGTGGAAGCCAAAAAGGCGGATGGAGGCAACAGTGGACAGCACGATGGACAGGGAGGTGGCAAAGCCCTTGAGGATGTTGTCGGCGTACTTGACGACAACAGCCACCAGCAGCCCGCCAAAGGCCTGGTTGAGCACCACGCCCCAGACGGCAGGTGTGTATCCGAAGAAGAAGCCGCGGCGGGCCACGGCGGTGCCCTCGGCCCACCAGAGCCCCACCAGCCCCAGGGCTGTGCCGAAGAGGCCCAGCTGCAGGTTGCGCAGCCACACGGAGCCTGAGCTGCCCTTGAGGATCTTCTCGAAGTAGACACCTGCGAAGCCCGAGGACAGACACGAAGCCACGACGGCCGCTAGGCCCGCCCCAGGGTTCTGATCCAGCGGCCGAGGGCCCCCACCACCGGCTTGCTGTGCCTGGACAATGGCGACGCCGGTGAAGAGGAGCAGCAGGGAGGCCCACTGCAGCCGGGAAAGGCTGCGGTTCAGCATGAGCACGGAGAACAGTGCCGTGGTCAGGATCTTCAGCTGGTACGTCACCTGTGAGCGGCATGTGGAAGGCACTAAGGGTTGTTCCCAACCCCCGACATGTGCACAGCGGAGGGGCAGGGTGGGGCAGACGACAATAAAAATATCCAACCACTGGCCACTGACTGACATGCAGCTAAAGTGCCTCCCAGAAGGTCCACAGCTATGGAAGTCCCAGGCCACACCCAGGTCCACTTCCTAACCCCATTTTCTGGCTGTGTGACGAGGAACAAACAAACCACTTGCCCTGTCTCGGCCCAGACATTATGATTTGTAAACACAGCTACTGTAATGTGAACCACCTCCTGCGGTAGGTAAAGAACGGGCGACAGGCTCTTTGACGAGGGCGTTCGTGATAAATATGTGCTGAAACAAACAAGTCCGCCACAATGCCGTCAGCAAACGTTTACATAGCGCTGTGTGCCAGTGTGGGTCTACGCACTTCGCATGAATCCATTCACTTAATGCTCACGTATGAACAGAAAGGGGAGAAAAAACTAAGGCAGAGAGAGGTTAAGTGGCTTGCCCAAGATCACACAGCTGGAAAGTAGCAGAGCTGGCATTTGAAGCCAGGTAGCCCAGCCCCAGAATCCAGGCTCTTCAACCATTTCCCAAGGCCGAAAGCTCACCTACTGCCAACCAAGGGCACTTCCTGGGATCATTTCTTTTAGCCGTCCCAGCCTCCTGGTGAGGCAGCATTCCCATTCTCAGTTCTCACGGATGAAGAAACCGAGGTTGAGGGAGAGCCAAGGCCATCTCGAAGGTGACATGGCTCCTGCTCTCTGCAGCCCTCCCTTGCCAGCATCACACCCCCCCTACCCCGGCCAGTTCCTCCAAGGCCATGTTGGGCATGGGGCTCACCTGGAAAGTGGCAGCTGGCAGGTTGGAGATGGCAACGTACTGGAGGTTATTCTGCAAGGTGTAGATGAGAGATGGCACTGCGAGCTTGAGCGTGTCCACATACTGCACCAGGACAGCCTCATAGAGGAAGAGAGCCAGGTGCTTCACGTTACCTGGGTGGGCGGAAGGACAGCCTCTTTTAGCACGACTCCCAAAGAACCAAAGAAGATCCTCTGAGGGCGGGGACCGGGCCTGGGACTGTGTCTCCCAGGCCCCAGCTCTGACTCCCTGAGGGTTATTATGAGGTCTGTGTTCTCAGTTTCCCCGATAGTACAACCACGCATCTAGCAGGCCTCTCAGGTACCAGTTTGATGGACACAGAACTATCATCCTTAACTCTGTGTCTGAGAATCACAGACCATATTCACTCAGCTTATAGCCTACCTCCCTGGCACAGAGTCCCTTCAGGGCAATCACTCAGTAAACATGTGTACAAGGAAATAACCAGCATTAACCAGCTTGTGAAGCAGAAGCCTTAGGAGTATGAAAGCAACACTGTTGACCAGAGGGGAAGTTTTAGACTTGACTTTTACACTTACCCTAGTTCTCTACTGGCTGGCGAGCTGCCTGAGGGCAGGGGCCACCTCCCTGTTGGACACTTCTGTCAGCTCCACACACAGTTGTGTGGTTGCCCTTGCCACATGGAAGAGTGGAAGCTTGACTATTAAGCAGAAAGTCTGTTTGGGACCTGCTCCCACCAATACATGAGAACACCTTCCTGTATAATAAGGCCTTTGCAAACCTCACCCCACTTTTTTTCAGTTCATCTTTAATAAAAAGATTTTAGGGGTGCTTGGGTGGCTCAGTTGGTTAAGTGTCAGACTTTGGCTCAGGTCATGACCTCATTGTGAGTTAGAGCCCCAAGGCAGGCTCTGTGCTGAGAGCTCAGAGCCTAGAGCCTGGCTTCAGAGTCTGTCTCCTTTCTCCTGCTCGCACTCTCTCTCTCTCAAAAATAAACAAACATTAAAAAATTAAAAAAAAAAGATTTTAGGGGTGCCTGGGCGGCTCAGTTGGTTAAACATCTGACTTCAGCTCAGGTCACGATCTCACGGTTCCTGGGTTGGACCCCACGTTGAGCTCTGTGCTGACAGCTCAGAGCCTGGCCTATTTCTGAGTGAGTGAGTGAGTGAGAGTGTGTGTGTGTGTGTGTGTGTCTGCCCCTCCCCTGCTCACACTCTGTCTTTCAAAAATAAACATTAAAGAAAGATTTTATTTTTAAGTAATCTCCAAACCCATGTGGGGCTCAAACTCACAAGTCTGAGATCAAGAGTCGCACAGCTCCACCAACTGAGCCAGCCAGGTGCCCCCGGCAGTTCATCTTTTTTTTTTTAATTTTTTTTTAACATTTATTCATTTTTGAGAGAGAGAGAGGGAGACACAGAATCCGAAGCAGGCTCCAGGCTCTGAGCTGTCAGCACAGAGCCCGAAGTGGGGCCTGAACCCACGAGCAGTGAGATCGTGACCTGAGCCAAAGTTGGACACTCAACCGACTGAGCCACCCAGGCACCCCAGTTCATCTTTTAAGTCTCAGCGGAGTGTTGCTCCTCTAGGAAAACCCCACAACTACTGTACGAGGTTATCACAGGAACTCCTGCTGAGGCTCCTTCACAAGACCCTGCCCTTGCCCTTCACGGCATTAATCCCAGGAGTAATGACCGATCTATAACACTTTACTCAAATTCTCTGGCCCCAGGAGTTTGGGTGATCAACATTTTCCAGGTGTGAGAAAGCTAACATGGTAGATACATATTTCACATAACACAGCCCACACATATGGGGCTACACACCATAACCACACACGTTTGCATTTCTGCAGTGACTTGTGTAAATATTCACACCAAAGAAGAAAAATAAAAAAACACAAATATACAAATAGCCCTACATCAGGGCAGGCCAAGTTTTACAACAAAACTAATTCAGGAAAAAAAAAAAAAACTGGGGAGGGATTGACATTGCAGATGCAAGGTGAAGGCCTGTGAGGAAGTCTGTAGCTTTTTGTTTCTCTCCACCTAAAATACCAGTCCTGGGGCACCTGGGTGGGTCAGCAGGCTAAGTGTCCAATTTCGGCTCAGGTCATGTTCTCACGGTTCATGGGTTCGAGCCCAGTGTCGGGCTCTGTGCTGACAGCTAGCTCAGAGCCTGGAGCCTGCTTTGGATTCTGTGTCTCCCTCTCTTTGCGGCCCCCCACCCCCCACTCACAGTCTGTCTCTCTCTCAAAAGTAAAATTAAAAAAAAAAAAAGTAAAATTAAAAAAATTTTTTTTTTTAAATACCAGCCCGATGAGGGCAAGATGCAGCCTGCATTGCTAACACGTCCACCTTCACAGCCAGAGCAGGGCCTGCCACAGCGAGCGCCTGGAGTGTCTCAGAATCACGCAAGAACAGAGCAGATGGCCCTGCAGGGCATTATGTTAAGGGAAAGAACTTAGACCAAGAAAGACAAATACTGTGTGATTTCACTTACTCGTGGAATCTAAAAAAAAAAAAAACAAACAGATAACAAAAACAGACTCTTAGGGAACTGGTGGCTGTCAGGGGAATGGGGCTGATGGTGGGGATGGGTGAAGGGGAGTAAGAGGTACAATCTCCCAGCTATAAAATAAATAAGTCACAGGGATGAAAATTACAGCATAAGGTCAATAGTCAAAGTCAAAAGTCAATAGTATTGTAGTAACTTTGTATGGTGATAGATGGTAACATTTATCATGGGAACACTGTGTAATATATAGAATTGCTGAATCACTATGTTGTGCACCTAAAAATAACAGAATATTATAGTTGACCCTTGAGCAACCAACAGGAGTTCGAACACCGACCCCCCACACAGTTAAAAATCCACCTATGGGGCACCCGGGTGGTTTAGTCTGTTGGGTGTCCAACTTTGGCTCAGGTCATGATCTTCCAGTTCCTGAGTTCGAGCCCCACGTCAGGCTCTGTGCTGACAGCTCAGAGCCTGGAGCCTGCTTCCGATTCTGTGTCTCCCTCTCTCTCTGCCCCTCCCCTGCTCGCATTGTGTGTGTCTCTCTCAAAAATAAACATTAAAATTTTTTTAGGTCCACGTGTTATTTTTGATTCCCCTAAACATAAAACTCCAATAGCCTACTGTTGACTTACCGATAACATAATTAATATATATTTTGTGTGTTAATATGCATTATATGTTGCATTCTTACAGTAAAGTAAGCTAGAAAACAAAAATCATAAGGAAAATACATTTTCAGTACTGTAGTGTATTTATCAGAAAAAAAACTTGGGGCACCTGGGTGGTTCATGGCTCAGTCCACTAGGCATCTGACGTAGGTACAGGTCATGTTCTCATGGTTAGTGAGTTTGAGCCCTGCATCAGGCTCTCTGCTGTCAGCACAAAGCCTACTTCGCTTCCGATCTTTTGTCCCCCTTTCTTTCTGCCCCTCCCCCGCTTGTCCTTTTTCTCTCTCTCAAAATAGATAAACTTAAAAAAAAGAAAAAACCTGCATCTAAATGGACCCACACAGTTCACACCCATATTGTTCAAGGGTTAATTGTATATGTCAAACTATGCTTCAATTAAAAAAAAAAAAAAAAAAAGAACAGAACAGGTGGATTCCCAAACTGTTGCCTTCCAGGGCCCTGGAGCTAATGAGTGGGCAAGAATGTTTTCTTCAGTGTAAATACGGAGGGCTGAGGGGTGCCCGGGTGGCTCAGCTGGTTAAGTGTCCGGCTCTTGACTTCAGCTCGGGTCATGATCTCACAGTTCCTGGGTTCGAGCTCCATGTACAGCTCTGTGCTGACAGCTCAGAGCCTGGGACCTGCTTTGGATTCGTGTCTCCCTCTCTCTCTGCCCCTCCCCCACTTGTACTCTGTCTCTCTCTCAAAAATAAAAATTAAAAAAATTTTTTTTTTAAATCCACGTATAACTTTTGATTTCCCCCAAATTTAACTCCAACAGCCTACTATTGACTGGAAGCCTTACCAATAACATAGTAAATTAACACATATTTTATATGTTAATATGTATTATATGCTGTATTCCTACAATAAAGTAAGCTAGAGAAAAAAATCATAAGACAACTACATTTTCAGTACTGTAGTGTATCTATCAGAAAAATACTTGGGGCATCTGGGTGGTTCAGTTGGTTAAGCATCTGACTTCGGCTCAGGTCATGTTCTCATGGTTCATGAGTTCGAGCCCCGCATTGGGCTTTGCACTGACAGCATGGAGCCTGCTTGGGATTCTTTCTCTCTCCCTCTTTCTCTGCCCCTCCACGACGCATGTGCTCTGTTTGTCTCTCTCAAAATAAATAAATAAACTTAAAACAACTAAAAAAATACTGAGGGCAGAGCTAGATCATACATTTATATCCTTTACACAGGCAAGGCCTTTATAGAGAAATGATTGGCAACCTTTTAAAGGAGGTCTTGGGGCTGGGTGGTTCAGTTGGTTAAGCGGCCGACTTTGACTCAGGTCATGATTTCGCAGTTTGTGAGTTCGAGCCCCACGTCGGGTTCTGTGCTGACAGCTCAGAGCCTGGAGCCTGCTTTGGTTTCTGTGTCTCCTTCTCTCTTTGCCTTTGCCTGCTCGCACTCTGTCTCTCTGTCTCTCAAAAATAAATAAACATTAAAAAAAAATTTAAAAAAGGAGATCTTTAGGGAGGTGTTTAAATTAGTAGATAAATCCAACTTATAGGGAATACAGAGGATTAAAGAACATGTTAAATGATACAACAGGGAGGCATCCAGCAAAATCCAGCCCACCCAAAGTCTATAAGACCTACGACCTGCTCTCTTTAACAAGTTAACTGCAGATCAAAAAGAGCCGGAGGGGACACCTGAGGTAAAGAGACCTAGAAGCCATCAACCAACTGCAAGACACTGACCTTATTTAAACCTGATTGAAACAAATTCTTAACACCTGTTAGGATATTTGAGAAGCCATTATAAATGCGAATGCTTGACTGGATATGTGATTATTTTATTAACTTTAAAAATTAATTTTCTGGTGTAGGATTTTTAGATATTGCAATATTTAAAAAAATTTGTATGTCTTTACTTTGAGAGACAGAGACAGAAAGCGAGCAGGGGAGGGGCAGAGAGAGAGAGACACAGAATCTGAAGCAGGCTCCAGGCTCTGAGCTGTCAGCACAGAGCCCGACGCGGGACTCGAACCCACAGACTGTGAGCTGAAGTCGGACCTTCATGACCTGAGCTGAAGTCGGACACCTAACCGACTGAGCCACTCAGGTGCCCCAATAATTTTTTTAATGTACCAAAATATCTATTCAAGATTGTTAAGGGGGGATTTACTGCAAAATAATACTTGCTTCATGTGGGATATACTGTAGTATAATAAGGCAGAGGGTGGGTACGTGGGCAGACATGTAGACTGGAAGTGAGTGGATAATCACTGGTGCTGTTTAATGGCAGAGTGGTCATGAGTTGACACTTGATGAATCTGGGTGACGGGCACATGGGCATTTTATTATTATCTCGATTCTGTATATGTTTAAAATTATCCATAATGCAAAGTTAAAGGGAGATAAACGAATCACCATGTAATGGTCACCTGAAACCTTATGGGCACAGATGATCTCACTCCTACAGTCCCCACAGGCCAGCTCCCAGGGGGTTAGGGGCATAAAAGTGTGGGTGCAGCTACTCATACCTGGAGGGAGAAGGTCACTTAGCTACACATACACACTCTCCAGGCAGCTTCACTGACGCAGTGATACTCCTGCAGCAAACCCTCCCTGTGGGGGTGGGTACACACACACAGTCCCACTCGCCAACCCCCGTGTGCAGTGCCCCCCTTCTGGCTCATACCCCTCTTCTGTGCGAAGAGCAGCAGCAGGCAGGTGAGACCTTTGAGCACTTCGGCCATGACCACAGCAGTGGTGGCAAAGAAGCGGTCCCCAGGCAGTGTGCGGGCGTAGCGGATGCTGAGGATGAGGGAGGCATTCTGGACCACCAGCACTGCTAGGGATATGTATTTGAGGCGCCGGTGAGCTGTGGGGAATGGAATGGGCAAGGGGGAAGAAGGGATCAGAAGCTGTTGGGGCACAGCCACACCACCCCCTTCCCCCTCACTCCTTTCTCAACCAGGATCCTGCTAGCCACTTGCCACTTCCTCCCTCTGCCTCCCTCTCCTGACCCAATGAGGGTATGACTCCCATCTACTTCTACTGCCTCAACAGGCAGGAAGAGCCACAAAGGGAGAAACGGGCCTCGCCCTGTCCAGCCCATACCTGGAATCCTTGCTGAGGTGTCAGGAAATGGCTGAGGCAGGTGCTGGACACACTCCGGCCCCCTCTCCCCCTCCTCTGTGAGAAGCAACTCACCCTCAGACAGAATACCAACTCCATTCTCAGCATCTGAGTGCTGACCATCTGCCTACCCCTGGGCTAAAGGATTTTATATGCATTACCTCCACAGACCCATAGAGCGCTGTGATCTCTGAATGAGCTACAAGAATTCCATTCTATGGATGAGCAAACCAAAGACTTATATGAAATGATGCTTCTATTTAATAAGAGGGTGTCCTATGTAAAGTATGATACCTCAGTACAGGGACCACTGTATAAGGCATGTCCACCCCTATACTCCCTATATTCCACATGGTCTTTCTCCCATCTAAAATATTATTTTTATGGGGTCTTTCTCCCATCTAAAATATTCTTCCATCGCCTTACACAAAGAATGGTCTCTCCAACTCCTACCTTCTATGACCACCAGAGTCCACATGACCCAGAATGGTTTCATAAACATAAGAAATAATTCCTCCAAAGTCCTTAGGATTGAATCCCATAATAATAAATGGTTACTGCACCAAGAATGGTCTGGTTCCCTCGAGGACATAGGGAAATATCTCCCTATACTCCACATGGTCCAGTCATCCTCCCACCACCACACCCCTACCTCAAGCCAAGGAATCATTCCTTGTTCTACTCACACTCACAACGAATCTCCCCGCTATAAAGAAGGGCCCTGCACCCTTACAACGTCTTTTCTCTGCCATATGAGGAAGGACCCTCCCATTCCAACTTACAATGAACTCTACCTCCACTAGGAAGGGACCCCCCCCGCCCCCGAACGGTTATCTCCCCTTCTGACAGACATACCAATCCTCAAAATGGACTCTCTAAGTTGTGTAAGGAAAGACTCGCCCCACCCTAACTCACAATAGCCCCTATCCCTTTATAAGGAAGAAACCACCACCCTCAGAATAGCCTCTTCAATAAGAACTTTCCCACCCTCAGAATGCTCTCTCCCTTCTAAAAGGACGGACCCCCACACACAGAATGGTCTTAGCCTCCCCCAAAGGGAATAACCCCCCAGTCTCTGAATGATTTCTGCTCTCCATATGCGGAAGGAACCCCCCATCATCCTCAGAATGGTCTCTTCCCTGTCTTCCAACACACGATACTCCGTTCCGTCCTCCGTCCCCCACCCGGCACCCCCACACACACACATAGGTCGGTCCATATGGGATGCTCCCTCTAGCTTCAGTGAGGAACCTTCCTGACCCCCCAGCAATCTCGACTCTCGCCCCGCCGCCGCCTGTTCAGTCACAATCTGTCTCACCCACACTCGCAGTCCCAGACTCCAACGCCCCCGCGGAGACCGCTCCTGGCCCAGCCGCCGCGGTGGAACAGCCAGATCCAACCGCTGCCATGTTGGCATCTGCCTGGCCTGTCCCCTCGGCAACAGCAGGCCACTTCCGTGTCCCTCACTTCCGTTTCCGGGCTTCTCGGGCGGAGGTGGGGCGAGTGAGGGGCTGGCTAGAGCAAGGGCTTTCCTCGTTCGCTCCCGAACAGTACATCTAAGACCGCGGCCTGGGGGTTTCCAGATTTCTTCGGGACAGGGAGACCCGACAGGCGGCCGGCTCAGCCTCTTGACGTCTCTACAGAGTCTCATTGGCTCATCCCCGTTACTAGACCCGCCCTCATCTTCATTGATCCCGCTTTCCAGATCACCCGCCCATCCAGTGTCCCCCTCTCATTGGTTCAGCTGACCCTCTTCTATGTTGGCTCTTTATTGGCACGTTCTATGAGAAGATACCTCCCTTTCCGCATCAAAACTCCTGGGTCCTTCCTGGTTGGACAGAAGTTCCCCTTTCCCCCGCCTCTCGGCGAGGCCCCGCCTCCCGCAGAGCCCCGGGGGCATCTGGGAGGAAAATGAGACTGAGGGGGCGGGGCAGGCGACAGTCAGGTAGGCTAGCAAACGAAAGCGGAGCAGTTGAGGCCACACAAGTGAGAGGACATAGAATTGAGACTGCGAATCGGGAGGATAAATGAACCCCTACTGAGGGTGTAGAGGACCCGTAAGCCAGTAGGTGAGACACTTTCAGGTTAGCTTTCGAAAGAGGGGAGGGGCGCCTGGGTGGCTCAGTCAGTTAAGCATCCCACTTCAGCCCAGGTCATGATCTCACGGCTCGTGAGTTCGAGCTCCGCGTCAGACTCTGTGCTGATAGCTCAGAGCCTAGAGCCTGCTTCAGATTGTGTCTTCCTCTCTCTCTTAAAAAAGAAAAAAAGGGGCGCCTAGGTGGCTCAGTCGGTTAAGCCTCCGACTTTGGCTCAGGTCATGATCTCACCGCTAACGGGTTCGAGCCCTGCATCGGGTTCTGTGCTGACAGCTCAGAGCCTGGAGCCTGCTTCAAATTGTGTCTCCCTCTCTCCGCCCCTCCCCCACTTGCACTCTCAGAAAATGAGAAAAACGTTAAAAAATTTTTTTTAAAGGAAAAAAAAGGGGGGCCATAGGGTTCAGCTGAGGTCAAGTGAAACCAAGATAGAACAGAGCAGGTATGTCAAGAAGTGAGGAATGAGGGGCGCCTGGGGGCTCAGTCGGTTAAGCGTTGGACTTCGGCTCAGGTCATGATCTCGGGGTTCGTGAGATTATGACCCGCGTCGGGCTCTGTGTTGACAGCTTGGAGCCTGGAGCCTGCTTCAGATTCTGTGTCTCCCTCTCAGACTCTACCCCACTTGCGCGCTCTCTCAAAAATAAACATTTTAAAAAGTTAAAAAAGAAGTGAGGAATGAGAGATGGGAGGGATGAGCAAGTAAGACTGCAAGTGAAAGGTGAGAAGTAGCAGCAAAACATGACTTACACCCTGGATGTAATTAGGAAACAAGAGCTGGGAAGATTTTTGTGCCCAACCCTGGCCCCTCCCTCACCAGCTCCCTGAAAGGCATTTTCTCTCGTGGAAGGGGTTTATTTCCTCCCCTCGGGGTGAGAAAGGCAGTTTTCTGTGCCTGAGCAAGCCCGTTTTTGATTCAGGATGTGTCCGATTCAGGATGTGTCCCAAGCACCTTCAGTGTCTACAGTATCTCCAGCGAAACCCTTCTGCACATCCTGGGAGCTACATTAAGTGCTGAAGAGGGAGAAATCGAGTTTTCCTTTGTGGTCCTGCTTAAACGAACCTATTAAAGAGCTTTAGGATGGTACCATAAGGCTAAGGCTCCCCAAGAGCTGAGGAGAGCTCCCGCCCACCTCCCTCTTGGCTCAGCATACAGTAGATGCTCCATAATTGCCTCACTGCATCTACAAATGGCCAGTCACTTCTGATTCTATAACATTTACTAAATAGTGGGTTTCCACACATGGCTTTTTAAATAATCCAGGCGGGGGGAGGAGGAGGAGGACACAGTTGGAGCTCCCCTCCCACCAATACATAAGTATTTACATTTCAGCAACTGGACAATCCTGGCTCAGAAGGAGGCAGCAAGAATCCGAAAAAGATGGAGGGGGGGGCCCAGGAGAACAAACAACAAGACTTATTTCCCCCACCCCATCCCCCAAAAAACCATCCACCCATCCTAGCAGACTCTGGTGGTGTCCATCTCCCATTCCATCCCAAATCATGGAAGTAGGGTTCTCCTCACCAGAATAAGAGCACTTGGGATAACAGAGTAGGGTCCCCTCACCAAAAAAAAAAAAAAAAGTAATAATAATAATAAAATAAAATAATAAAATAATAATAAAAAAAAGTCCTGGAATAACAATAGGGCATTACCTCCCCCAGAATAAGCAACCCTGGGCTGAGGTAGGCAAGCAGCTTGACTGAATATAGAACCCTGGGCTAGGGGAAAGGGTCCCTTTGCTAAAATAAGAGCTGCTGGGGCATTGGAAGGAAAGCACCCTTGCCCAAGTGAGAGCATTTGAACTAAGTGTGTGTGGTGGTAGCAGGAGGTGCTAGTGTAGGGGTTACAACTCACTAGAATAAGAGTCCTGGGGCTCAGAATGGAAGTAACTTCAAACCAAACAAACACCCTTAGCAAAATGAGAAATATGGAAGTCTCCCCCCCGCCCCCCGCTCCAGAATAAGAAACCATAAGTTCTGGGAGGAAGGCTCCTTAGCAGGATTGGGATAGGGACTGGGCAGACTTGGCTTGTGTCTCCTGACCCGTGATCCCCAATCTCTGACCCTAGTAACACTGGATTTAATTTTAATGACCTGTATAACCAGGTCAACAGATGTCCATCTATCCCTGTGGCATGCCATGGGACGGGTATTTAACTAGTGGGGTCCTGGCCAGGACTAGGGCAGCAGGGACCAGGCCAAAGGGGTGGGACCCCCCTTGGGGGCATTGAGGGATGCATCCTCAGCTGGTGTCTGCATCCAGGGGTCCAGCAGTATCTCCTCCAGTGAGGGTCGGGCAGAGGGCTTGGGGGCCAGGCACCGGCGGATTAGGGCACAGCAGTCTGCAGATCAGAAGCACACAGGAGATTAGCAGTCAGTTGGGGGCACTAGCCTCTGGGAAGGATGGAGTCCACTGGGCTAGGACCAGTGAAGGCCTCACCTGGGGAGACATGGGCAGGGAAGTGGAGCTCAGCCTCTAGAATCTCCTGGTCCCTCTCAAAGGGAATGTCCCCACACACCATGTCATAGAGGAGGATGCCCAGTGACCAGACAGTGGCCGGGAGTGCATGGTACTGGTGACGAGAGATCCACTCTGGGGGGCTGTACACCCTTGTTCCTGCACACAAGCCAGAGATTAGACTACTCTCTAATAATGTCCTTCCCCCACCCACCTCACATTCCCCAGGAAGTGTGGTCCCTTCACCAGAATTGAGAGAACTCAGTACAGGAGCAGGGTCCCCTCACCAGAATAGGAGCTCTTTAAAAATAGCAGCAGAGTCTCATCATTAAAAAAGCAACAGCAGAGTGCCCTCAACAGAATAAAAGCACTTAAAAGTAACAGTAGGATGCCTTTACCAGATAGAAGAGGAACACTCAGGATAATAACACAATCCCCTCACCAGAATAAGAACCCTGAACAAGGTCTAGGCACTGTCAGAAGATGGACTTTACCAGAGGACAAGGCTTGAGAGTCCCCAGGATTAAAGAACAAGAACCTTATAAAGGTACAATACAGATCAAGGATTACAGGACACCCCAGCCCTAGAGGCCAAAGATCAAGAGACCATGAAGATAAAAGGTAAAAAATCCCCCCACTGAGATTCAGGGAAGACTTACCATCAAAATCAGTATAGGGTTCATCATGGAGCAGGGCACCGGAACCAAAATCAATGAGTTTGGCACAGCCGCGGCGGAGGTCCATCAAGATGTTCTCATCCTTGATGTCGCGATGGACAACTCCACGAGCATGGCAGTGCCGAACAGCTGCCACTACCTGGGCAAAGAGGCAGCGGCTTCGGCCTTCACCTAATGGGCCCTGCTCTGTGATGTAGTCAAAGAGATCCTGGGCAGGCAAAGGTCGTTCCAGGACCAGCATGAAGCCTTCTGGTGTCTCAAACCAGTCAAGCAGGCGGATCACACCAGGGTGCCCACCACCTGCACCCACCTTCCACAGCAGTGCCACTTCCAGTGGGCATGTGACCGAGTCTGACTGTGGGGAGAAGGGGAGAGAAGAGAGAACACGAACGTCAGTGCAGCAGCTCTGAGGCGGACTTCTTGCCTGAACTTAATTCATAGCCCCTCAGCCTCCTGACTTCGTGGTCTTCAGCAACTCACTTCCCTCCCTGAGCCTCAGTTTCCTTGCCTTAAGGGCCACTGCAAAGACGGTTTGAGCCAAAAGCCTATGCACATCTGGCTCAGAAAATATTTGAATAATGAAAGTGGTTCTTAAAAAAAAAGCCTTCTGCAGAAGGAGAAACTGATGAACACTATTATGTAATAGTGTATCATTTGTTCACTGGCATCTCAGAAAAGATTACAATAGTACTTTAAACATAGTAGGTGCTCAGTAAATGTTAAATAGCTGAAAGCACTCTATAGCCTAGAGTCTAACACAGAGTTAGCACTCAATAAATACTATTATTGTGTAATAGTTGTAATATTCTGTCCAATGACATAGCTCAAACACTAGAACAGGGCCTGGGAACGGGGCAGGGCTTAATACAATATCTGTTAAACAAGTAAAAGCAATTAGTAGAAAGGACCTGGCACAAAATAAACTCTCAATAAATGTTAATATTTTGCCAAATGCCTAAAATTGTGCCTGGCACATAGTAGGTGCTCAATATACATTTCTTAAATAGCTGAAGGTGATTAACTACAAAAGAACAAAGTAAGAACTCAACATCATGTGGTGTTTTGTCACTGACACCAAACATCTAGAACTGTGTTGCAAGTACTCAGTGGGACTTGGAATACAGTAAGCTTTGATGATGAAGCAAAACCTGAGACATACAGCCGGTGCTCAATAAAAGGTATAAATGCTAAGCCATAAAAGCCACCCCACGCTAGAAGCCCGATGCGGGCACACGGGCTGCCAGAGCAGCCTTCCAGCCTGAGGTGGGGCCCTCTCCCGGCCAGTCCACTGACTTGCACAGCCGCAGACAGGTTTTCTCACGGTGATGAAAATTCCGCTACTGCGCAGGCGCACCTTCTCCCTCCGGGTCCCACAACCTGCGCAGGCGCAGCCTTCCCCAGAGTCCGCCAGGGGGCGCTCGCGCCCCTACAACTAGCCCAGACCCGCCCTGTTGTCCGTTAGCGTTCTAACGGCCAAAGTGAAGCAGCCACCGTCACCATGGCAACCAGTGACCTCTGCTCCTCTTTCCCCACCAGCATGCCCCGCGGGCAGCCCCTGAGGAAGTGTTCGGAGGGAGGAGGTGAAAGGCGGTGTGGAGAGGAGAATCCAGGGCCGTAGAGGGAGCTGGGGTGAGAACCATATGGAGGTGTGAATGTCACCACAGGGGAGTAAACACGGGCTTGTAGGGGTGCTCTCACCGTTACAGGGCCTAGGGAATCATACAAGCCCTAGAAAGGCAAGGGGGTGAGTCCATCGCCAGAGCCCATCATCAGAGATGGCGTCGCCAGGTCAGGCAGGTCTCCAAAGATACTCACCAAGGGGGACCAGCCCAGCACACGATTCCGGGGGATCACTTTGATGGCCACCTGGAGAACGGGGGTGAGGTGAGGGGGCCAGCAGACGACCCCCAGACTCCTCCCAGTCTTGACCCTCATCCGAGTCTTTCTGGTCTCAACCTCGCCACGCCACAACCCAAAATGAGCTGGAGCTTCTCCCCTGCCCTCCAAGTCCCCAGAACCAAGTTCACCTCTCCCATCATCCTTAGCCCTGCGTTCTCCCTTCTCAGGCTTCAGGCCCCTCACTCCAGCTCCTGAGCTCTGAATTTCCTAATACCCCAAGCTCTCAATCTTTCCATCCAGCTCCAGGACACCCCAACTCTCTACCAGGGTCCTGGTCCTCAGGACGCCACGCTGGACATCGGCCCTCAAAATTCTCCAAATCTCAGCTCTGGGTCTCCACCTTCCCACACAGATACATATCCCCTGGAGCCCAGGGTCTAGAGTCCTCACGATCCCCCAGTCCTCAGACTCACTCCCTAGACTTCCAAAATCCCTGCCCTGAAACTCCCCCTCCCCCCACATACCCACCTGGATCGCCACACACACAAACAAGCGCGCGCACGTGCGCGCGCTCGGACATCCCCCACCAACCTGGATCCTGGTCCTCATGACCCTACCACGCACACATTGTTGGCTCATCCCCTGGTCAATCAGCATCCCAGGCCCCGGACCCCGGGACTCCTGCCCCCGCCACACGCGCGCACGCATACCCCTGACCCTCCCAGGACCCTTGTGGTGGATACCTGGAGTCGGTCTGTGACGCGATGTCCTGCGAAGACGGTACCAAAGCCCCCCTTACCAAGGAGGGGGCCGAGTCGGTACTCGGCCTCGAACGCTTCCCGATCTTTGCCTCCTACGCAGGCGGGGGCGAGGAAGTCAGGGTGGCTGCGTGTTGAGCCCGGCTGCGACCCTCTCCTCCCCTCCTCCCGCGCCGCCCTCAATCACATCATCCCGCCCGGCCTAGTCGTGGTAGGGGAGCCTCGCTCACCTGGCGGCGGCGTGGGGGTCACGGGGGCCACGGGGAGCCCTTGCAGAGGCTTAGTCAACATGGAGGAGGTGCTGCGTAGATTGAGCCCACTGAGCCCGCAGGGGGTGGACGCCCGGGGCAGCGAGGCTGGGGAGCCAGGACTTGGGGGCGCCAGGGTGGAAGGCAGAGAAGCTGGTGGCCCAGAAGCGCCCGCAAACAGCGCAATGTTGGGATTCGACGCGCGCGCCAGCTCCAACGCTACTGAGCCGGGGCACGCGCCTCCCGAGAGAGTCGCCCCGGGCGACGGCCCCGCCCACTTGGCTTTGATCAATCCGGACGCGGCACCTGCTGTACCCCAGCCAATCGGAGCCAGTCCTTATTTGCATACCACCCTCAACGTTTCAAGTACCCCCTTATGCAAATACATGCCCGGATCTTCCGCGGGGGCCGGGCCCGCATGCAAATGTGGGGGGCGCGCGCGAAGAGGAAACCGGTTCTGGGAATCCCTTTGCAGCAACCGCATTTGTTTTGGTTGTTGCGCGGGGTTGTTTTTATATATGTATGTGTGTATGTGTATATATAGATATAAACTTAAAAAAATAACTGCACCGCCTCCTTTCCTAGGAAGTTGGTTTGCAGCCGCTGCTTCGAGAATAGCGCGGAGATAATGCCAGGCCCGGCTTCTAAGAATCCGGGCCTGTGGCTACCCAGGACCCGGTCTCCAAAGAGTGCTCAGCACCCAGGACCAGAGCCTTCTAGGCAACCGGCAGCCTCTGTCCTGAAACTGAAGCCGGGGATCCCGGAAGAACCTGTCCAGCTTCCTGGGAGGGGTAACCCCTCTGACCACCACCGCGGGGGACGCACTGGTCAAAGTCAGCGTTCCCAAGCCCGGAGGCTTGTGGGGTGTTTTGAGCGCCCTTAACCTGAACAGACCTGGCTAGGTCTGGCCGCGAGCCCAGTCAGCACGTCTAGAATCTGGATTGGCAGGGAGAAGTGGATCTTGGGCGGGGGTGAGGAGCAAGCCAGAGTGATGGTGGCTTGGGGGTATGCCTCCAAATGGCAGAGACAGGGATGGAGAGAGCTCAGACAGGTGGCAAAATACCCTCAGTCACAAATTTGGGAAAAATAAGACAGTAGAGTGTCACGCCACAAGAAGATAGATATGCACTCAAGACACTCAAAGTACCACGTGATATACACAAAACCCATACTGTCAAGACACATTCATGTAAACTTGTCCTAGACACACGTGCAGACATGTACTGTCACAGAGACTGACATCCACTGTCAGGCCGGCATGCTGCCTGAGTTATGTCCCAGAATGACACCCAAAAAAACACTGTTAAAGACAGGCACTCCAGAGAGACTCACATAGACCTACGTTGCCATGTGACAATGACACAGAAATGTCAGACTCACCACCACCAGAACTTGTCACAAAGATACTGGCACCATCAGACACACTGTCACAGGAAGACTTGTACTGTCCCAAAAATGAGAGACCTCGTGTCTGTCACAGGAAGACACACAGATGCTCCAGAGACACACAAGTACTGCTCCAAAGGCAGACATACTTATGCAACAGAGCCACATAGATAGGCATTGTCACAAAAACAGATGTGGATAGAACCAGACACACAACCAGCAAACATACAGTGTTGTCACTGAAATTGTCCAGAAATATCTACCTAGAATCTGTCACAGGAATACAAACGGACATCCACCCCATCAGAAAGAAACCACAGATGCGCTGTCACAGACAGACCCACGCAGACATGCACTTGTCTCAGAAACAGACATAAACTGTCAGAGATAGAGTCCCACACTCAGTCACCATCTGACACACCTGGAAACAAGCCCTTGTCACACACACTAGAGACACTGTGAGATGCATGTGAAGACTTGGGACTCACCAAAGTCACACACAGACAACACTCAAAAAGCAAATACACACATGTACTCTCCCTTATTCATCCAATATTTATTAGGGGTCTACTGTAAGCCTGCCAGGCCCTGGCAGGGGTGCAGATATTAGAGATACACAGATTAAGTCAGGCATCACAGCCCTTGCACAGTTATTGGGGAAGGAGTAAAGACACATTTGTGGATAGAAGTGAGAATGTGGATGGAGTCACACAGGGCTTCTCATAAGGTGACTTTCTACCCATCTTGAAGGACAAGGTTGGGGGCTCAGGACAGGGGAAGGGCAAATTCCAGGCAGAGGCCAATGAAACTGGACAGAGCAGCAAGAAGAGGTAGGCAGGGGCCAAATGGTGCAGAAAGTTCAACATTAGAATAAATACTCTAACATCTGAGCTCTCAGAATGTGCCAGGCACCGTGCCATCATACCTTATGTTGACCACATGCATTCCCTCTCCATGCTCACAACCAGAGAGAGTGTGAGGTAGTAGACATTAATCACTCCTGTTGTACACGTGGTGGGACCCTTGAAACTCAGGGAGCCTGTGATTTGACCAAGGCCACACAGCTAGAGAAAACCAGGTAGGTTTCAAACCAACTCTCCAACATCTGCATGCATAACCAGTGGATTCCACAGACACCCCACAGGTGGCCACCTGGCCAGCCATGCCCTCACTGGCAGACCTGGACATGCACCCTTCCACAGGGGCCCCATTAGTGAGGCATGGCAAAAAAACAAAAACAAAATCATTCTTGACAAAATGTGGGGGCCAGCCATCCTTCTCTGCCTTGACTTTACCCCAAGGAAAGGCAGGGAAAGGGGTCAGAAGACTGGGGGACATCAGTAAGAAAGGGTTTAATATTCCTTAAACCCAGGAGGCCCCACCAGTCAATTCCACTAAGCTTACATTGATATGAAGCCTCTGTTGTGCCTTTGCAAAGCATTTCCTCATCAAAGATCACAAGGAAAGGGCAAACATATATAGGCAAGGAGGCAGGCAGAGTAATTGAAAGTTCAGTCCCAGCCCTCAAGCTCATAGTCGACTCCCTGCTCCCATCACACCCCAGGACACAAGGTGGGCAGGCTACATGCGCCAGTACTGAGGCAGGGGCAGCAGGCAAAGATGGAACTTTCATGGTGGGAACAGGCCCAGAAGTTGGTTTAGTAAGCAGTGAATCAAATATGAACTCTGGGCCTGCAGAAATACCCTACTGGAGAGCATGCAGCCCTCAGAGGTCAAGCCAAGGCCTATTGCCATCACCGCCTCTGCCCAGAGCCCCACCCACCCCGTGCCCCACACAGAACAGAGGCGCTCAGGGGAAACTGACATTTGGTTTTATTGTGCCAAGGACATTACATATGGTGGATCTTGTCAATACCTGCAGGGCACAGGTGCCTCATCTGCTGAGGCTGCTCCCACTCCCCACACTCAAATCCTGGGCAGGCGGTGGCTGCCATGATCCTCAAAGGTGCCTCCCAGCCCAAGATTCCAAAGAGACTGGTGGTGATAGTGGTGGTGGTGTGGAAGCAATAGGAATGCAGCGAGGTCAGAGTCTCAGTGTCCAAAGCCCATTTTGACACCTGCCCCCCTGCCCCCCACCCTGCCCCGACTCACACTCTAGAACCTGCCCACCTCCACAGAGCTGGAGGCCAGAGACAGCAACCACATCTTTGTGCCCCCTCTGTGGCCCATGGCCTGCCTGCTCCCAAACCAGAGATGCCACCTTCACAGAGCCAATGCTGTTGTCTACATCATTTTGGATTGGTTGATTTTATAAGATAAAAGTACATTTTAATAAAGAAAAAAATTCAACATTGAAGGCTCAGACATTCTTGGGGTACTGGGAAGGGGAACTGCCACTTCTTCCTCGCACCTTCCCAGCATCATTGTGGAGGTGGGGGTAACAAGTTTCTCTGAACTTGGAAGGAATAGGGGGGTGAGGGGGGGCAGGGAGACTTTCCTCTGTCTGAATGTTTCTCCTCGGGGACTGCCTGGCTGCCAGTTGGTTTGTCTCTGTATGCCTCTCGCCTATGTTCGGCACCCTTGCCCAAGTCCCCTGTGGAATGCAGGGATGGTGCTGTGCAGGGGGCAACAGGGCACGTCAGCTGGCGAAGAGACGGGTGATGGTGGTGGTGGCAGCGATGAGAGGGGGCGCAGTGGTGGGTCAGCCAGAGGGAAGTGGGGAAGAGGGAAAAGAAGGGAGAGAGGGAAGAAGGCAAGAGGGAAGAAAGCCAAAGAAGGTGGGTCGGCACCGGAGGGCAGGAGTGGTGGGGGTCGGGAGATGGTCTCCAGTCTCTGGGTCTCCATCAACTCTTGTCTGGGGGTGGATCTCTGTGCACTTTGTTTTTCTTCATACTGTCTAGGTATTCCTGTTGGGACACTGCCAGCACCGATGCTAGGATCTCATCATCATCCCAGTCATTCAGACCTGCTGGGCCAAGAGGAAGGGGAAAAGGATGACGGAGCACTCCCAGCCCGCCTTCTCTTCACCCTTTGCTGATCCCTGGCTCTGGAGAGATCCCATACAGATGCCCTCTGGACACATCCCTTGGGCTTGAAAAATTCCCTTTTCTTGGGGAGGCGGCTAGAGGGTCTGGAAGCTCCCCTCCCGGGACTTGCTGGTTCTTCCATCTCTCCCCAACTCCCAGCTGCCCCTGGCCCCTAGATACAGGAGGCTTACCAAACGCAGAGGGGGACATCTGCTGAATGAGGGCCCGGCACTCCAGAGCAGGGTAGAGGGACACGAGAGGGGGAGTAGCCCGGTCAGCCCCTGCCGAGAACTGGCTGCTTGTACCTAGGGCAGAGGGATAGTCAGAGGCAGGGCCCAAGACCTAGGCAGCACCTCCTAACTCATGCTCCCATCACCACCTCACTGACCTGGTGCACAGGGTGAAGGAGGTTTGGCAAGAGCTAAGACAGTGCCTGGGGAAGGGGGCTTGATGCCCAACTCGGTGTGCAGCTCAGGGTGCTCGGGTGAAGAGGCTGAACTCCGCTGCCGTGGGGACCTATTGGTCCACTCCTCTAGGCCACTGGAGGCTGCTGCTGTGGCAGAACTGCACGTAGCACTGGCTTTCCGGGGCTGCAGTGGGAAGGAGGAGGAGGAGGGAAAGACCAACACCAGTCGTGACCCTCCTCTGCCCCATCCCTGGGGGCTGGCTCCCTCCTGGAATCCTGGCTATGATACAGTTTCTACATAGGCCACCATCATTCCTGGTCACACAGCAGACCACAGGACAAAGGTAAGCTCCTTAATCCTCCCTCACACCCTTATAGCCAATCTAAGAGGAAACCTCTACCTCCACCTTCAAAATCCATTCAGACTCTATCCCCTTTTCTTCTTCATTCCTAGCCAGCTCCGCCATCAGTCACCACTGGGACTATTCTAGTAGCCTCTGCCTCACTGATCCCCTACTTCCACTCACCCCTGCCCTCTAGATTCCACGTTGCACTCAGCAATCGGGAGATCCTGTCCCTCCTCTGCTCACAACCCTCCCGATGGCTTCTGCCTCACTCACAGTAAAAGCCAAAGTCCTCGCCACAGCCCACAAGCCCCTTCTCAATTTGGCCCCACCACCTCTCTGACTTCATTTACTGCTATACCACACTGGCCTCTGGACCGCACCCAAATCATACCAGGTGCGCCCTACCTCAAGGCCTTTGCTCGCCTTCTGCCTTGCCTGGCATATGCACTTAGCTAACTGCCTCACCTTCTGCAAGCTTTTGTTCACATTTCACCTGCTTTGAGGCCTACCCTGACCATGCTATTTAATACCGTGACCTCTCAGCCCTCTCGGCCCTACTCATTCCCTTTACCCTGCTCTACGTGTTTCATCTGCCTTACCTCTCAACTAGTCTGTTCATTATGTTTACTGTTCATTTTGTTCCACTCTGCAAAAATGTAAGCATCACAAGGACAGGGATCTGGGCCTACCTGGCTCACCAATGTACCCCCATACACTGAGAACAGTGCCTGGCACAGACCTGCAATCACTATTTGTTGAAGAAATGACTCAACTCTTGCCAGCATCTACAGTCACTCTGAACTCCTTGTGATTCTGCAAATGCCTGCCGGCTCTGCCTCCTCCCTGCGCTAAACATTCAACCTTCCTGTGTGAAGACTGACCAGAGCCCCCACGTCTACTGGTCTCCCAGACAGGGTCAAGGGCCCCACTGATGTATGTCTTCCTCAGCAGACAGGGGATCTTTGAGAGTGGAGCAGGCCGGACCTGATTTTACATCCTCAGCACAGAGCCTGACACACAAGGACATTCAACAAAAGCTTGTCCCTCTGGAACTATCCATCAATCCCATGTGTCACCACCAATGACTGGCCTCCCTCATTCTTGGAGAGCGAGCTTATTCTGCAAAGGTGTTGAGAGTTCTAAGGCACAATGCCAAGACTAAGGCCAAGATGCAGTACAGAATGGGCTGGGAACTTCCTTCTCTCCCAGATGTCAAAACTGCTGTTTTTTTTCTGTCTGTATGGGGGCAGAAGATGGGAAATAAGGGGTTCTTGGCCAGGTCAGTGACAGAGCCCAGGACACACCTGGCTGGGGCCGCGGACCTGGCGGGCCTGTTTCTCTTGATCCCGTAGCCACTGCAGGTAGGATTCCCGAGCCACTTGTTCCTCAATGGCCTCATTTGTGGCCTCCCAGTCTGTGGCCCGCTTCTTGTCTTCCAGCATCTGCTGTTCAATCCATGACTCCTCTGATGTTTTTATGGCATTCTTCATCAGGGACTGCTCTGCAAACTGCAAGGCAGGGAGGAACAGGGATGTAGGGTGACACTCTGAACTCCAGCCAAGAGACAGAACTGGCTCAGGATTGGGGGCCTGTAGGGCCAGGAGAGAGGGGATAGGAAGGCAGGTACTCCTACTAAACAACCCCTTGAGCAGGCTGCCTATTCATCAGGAATCAGGGGAAGGCAGGCTTGGGTAGTGGGATTTGTCATTCCAAACTCCTACACTCAGAAGCCCTGCTCCCAATCCCTAGACACTTTGAAGTACTATGTCTGGGGCAGCCAGGTGCTAGAATTTAAAGATGCCTCCCTCACCCAGCGATGACTCAGTTTCATGATGCTGAGGCCTTCCTCAACTATGCCCAGATGGGACAAGGAGAAAAGATCACCTGACCTGAGAAGTTAGCTATGTGTGCACAGGGTAAAGGGAGTATTTGGACATTGAATAGGGTGTTATGAGTTGTGGGACACTGCAGGAAGTACTTTTTATCAGGCTATGAGATACATGAGCATTTCAAAAATGAAATAATGAAAACAATACCAGAGCATATTTCAGGCATTAAGTGTAAGTGTTGCTCAGTGAAATTCTAACATTATTTTAATGCAAATATACACACTACACACCAGTGTGTGTGCACTAAGTTAATGATGTAAAATATAATTTTTTACCTATGTATAATATTCCAAAAAGTATGTAAAACTTTATGTTAGAACAAGTCAATTAAAAAATGGGCAAAAAAAAAGTCTACAGACACAATTTCCTCAAAGAAGATATACAGATGGCAAATAAGCACATGAAAAGATACTCAACACCATCTGTCATCAGGGAATTGCAAATTAAAACAATGAGGTCTACCTTATCTGTTGGAGATAATCAGTAAGAACTGCAGCTTCATACAGATACGGATGGTTACATAAAAAAAATTTCTAGATAAGCGTATACGTGTGGGTTAGTATACATAGATATTATTTCCTTGCTCTGTCAGCTGAAGGGGCCTAGAAGCAAGGACACCCCAGTAGCAAGGAGCATACTCGGCACCCAGATCTTTTTCTTTTTCTAATTTTTTTAATGTTTATTTTGAGAGAGAGAGAGCGCGTGAGCACAAGTGGGGGCGGGGGAGAGAGACAGACAGACAGACAGACACAGAATCCCAAGTAGGCTCCAGGCTCCAAGCTCTGAACTGTTAGCACAGAGCCTGTCGCAGGGCTCAAACTCACAAACCACAAGATCATGACCTGAGCCGAAGTCAGATGGTTAACCAACTAAGCCACCCAGGGACCTGCAGATCTTGGTTTCTAATAACATACTCCAGTAAAGGGAACCAGGGCTCCTTGAAGAAATGGCTGGTTCTAGAATTGTGGCAAAAAATATACAAGATGAACTGGGAGCACCTTATAGTGCCAGAAACTAAGAAAGTGCTACAAATGAAATAAAACAAACAAAAGCCAAAATTTAAAACAACCCACCACCACAATGATGGGGGGATATCAAAGAGATTCAGGAACCAACTAAGTGAGCTCCCAATAGCCAAAACTGGAACAACATGAGCATCAAAATCAATAAAAATAGTACTGGATTACAATCCAGTATAAAAGAAATACCCTTGGGGCGCCTGGGTGGCTTAGTCGGTTAAGCGTCCGACTTTCGCTTGGGTCATGATCTCGCGGTTCGTGGGTTCGAGCCCCGCGTCGGGCTCTGTGCTGACTGCCAGCTCAGAGCCTGGAGCCTGTTTCAGTCTGTGACTCCCTCTCTCTCTGACCCTCCCCTGCTCATGCTCTCTCTCTCTCTCCTAGAAATAAATAAAAACATTAAAAAAAAAAAAAAGAATTTTCACCCAAATTAAAAAAAAAAAAAAAAAAAAGAAATACCCTTGAGTCCACAGTGATATAAATAAATGGCAAACAAGATGTAAATCTCCCTTGCATAAGAATTTTACATAGTTTATATAGACACTACGCCCTCAAGAAGCTGGAACATAACCTCCACTTTTTAAGTGTGAGCTATATAGATAATGGCTGCCTTCTGAACAGGACAGTATGAAAAAGGGAATGGGGGGAGGGGAGCGCCTGGGTGGCTTGGTCGGTTAAGCATCCAACTTCGGCTCAGGTCACGATCTCACAGTTCGTGGGTTCGAGTCCTGTGTCAGGCTCTGTGCGGACAGCTAGCTCAGAGCCTGGAGCCTGTTTCGGATTCTGTGTCTCCCTCTCTCTCTGACCCTCCCCTGCTCATGCTCTCAGAAATAAACTTTAAAAAACATTAAAAAAAAAAAGGAAAAGGGAATGGGGGGAGAGTAATTTTACAGTGGAGAAAATCTGACAAATACTACTTCCACTAGCAATCAAGGTCAACATCAACAGTCATAAATTATGCTCACAATATATACTACTGATTAGATGTGATAAGAATGGCACTTTACCACTGTGATCTTCCTCCCTAAAACATAACCCCAGTCTAATGATGAGAAAAACATCAGACCAATTCCAAAAGAGAAACATCCTACAAATACACATGACCAGTACTCAAAACTGTCAAGGTCATCAAAAACACGAAAACATGAGAAAGTGTCACAAATAAGGGAGCCTAAAGAGACATGATGATTTCAGTTAATAACAACGTTTCAACACTGGTTCAAATATTATAACAAATGTCAATTCCAAAAGATAAACATCCTATGATATACATGACCAGTACTCCTCAAAACTGTGAAGGTCATTAGGGGCGCCTGGGTGGCTTAGTCGGTTAAGCGTCCGACTTTCGCTTAGGTCATGATCTCGCGGTTCGTGGGTTCGAGCCCCGTGTCGGGCTCTGTGCTGACTGCTAGCTCAGAGCCTGGAGCCTGTTTCAGAGTCTGTATCTCCCTCTCTCTCTGACCCTCCCCTGTTCATGCTGTCTCTCTCTATCCTAGAAATAAATAAAAATATTAAAAAAAAAAACTGTGAAGGTCATCAAAAACACAAAAACATTAAGAAACTGTCACAAATAAGGGAACCTAAAGAGACATGATGATAATAACAATGTATCAATACTGGTTCAAATATTATAACAAATGAATCACAGTCATCCAAATATTAATAATAGTGAAACTACTGGGCATGGCCAGGAGAAGCATGGAGAATACATGGGAATTCTATACTATCTTCTCAATTTTATGGTAGATCTAAAACTGTTCTAAACAATTAGGTCTAGGTGCGCCTGGGTGGCTCATTTGGTTGGGTGTCCGACTCTTGATTTTGGCTCAGGTCATGATCTCCCAGTTCGTGGGATCAATCCCAGCTTTGGGCTCTGTGCTGGCTGTGGGGAGCCTGCTTAGGATTCTCTCTCTCCCTCTCGCTGTGCCCCGCCCCATGGCATTCATGCATACATGCTCTCTCTCAAAACAAACATTTTTTTAAAAAGTCTACCAAAAAAAAAAAAAACCTTAAGTCATTCCATTTTTTTAAAAAAGGAGAAAGAGATGGGGCGCCTGGGTAGCTCAGTCAGTTAAGCGTCTGACTTCAGCTCAGGTCATGATCCTGCGGTTCGTGAATTCAAGCTCCATGTTGGGCTCTGTGCTGACATCTCGGAGCCTGGAGGCTGCTTCTGATTCTGTGTCTCCCTCTCTCTCTCTGCCCCTCTCATGCTTGTGCTCTATCTCTTTCAAAACATAAACAAACATTAAAAAATAATTGTTAAGATAATAAAAAAGGAAAAAGAAAAATGAGTGATCAGACCACAGAAAGTCATGGATGAATCTTAAATTTAAATATGTAGTATTATGTGCAAGAAGCCACTCTGAAATACTGTAGGATTCTAATTCCTAGAAATTCTAGAAAAGGCAAAACTAGAGTCTGTAAACAGATCAAAGACAAAAACAAGGAAACTCAGAGAAATGGTCAGAGCCAAAAGGAGCCAAGACAACTAAATGTAGTAAGGTATCCTGGACCAGATAAGATCATCAGAGAAAGACTGAGGTCATTTAAATCAAATAGTCTTTAGTTAATATATCAATATTGCTTTTCAATTGTGACAAATGTTCTATGCTGACATGCTAATCAGAGTGGGAATATGGAAATTCTCTAATCTCAGTAATTCTGTCAATCTAAAATTGTTCTAAAATTAAAAGTTTTCTTAAAAAAAAATTAAAAAACCCTACGTTAGAGGGTGTGTTGGTGTTAGGGTGTGTGTTTCCTAAAATGAGGCAGGGGCACTTTCTGTTTATAGGAAGTGAAATCTAAATAGAAGATAGCAAAATCCTCAAAAGATGACTGTTTATGAGAGAGAATGAAAATCTGTCAGCATGTGTTGGAAAACATCCTGCCACCTTGAGTACCTACTCGGCACCAGGCTCAATGTCAGGCACTTACCGTATAGGCTGAGCTGCCAGCCCAGATGACTTGTGTAATCTGTCATAGGTCCCACAGCCAGTAAATAGTACAGCCAGGCCCGCACTTCAAGTCTCTGAACACAGCTGTCTATGACTGCTGAGTTTCAGAAGAGGATCCGTGTGGATGCTAAGATCCCAATACCAAGCCCTGGTTCCCAGATGTGCCTCCATTTCCCGAAACGCCAACCATCAACAGGCATGAAAGATGGGTAAGCCAGCTCTGACAGGCAAATGGAGACCACAGACTGAGCCCTGAGATCCCCTTGAATTAACTCCCTAATTTTATAGAGGTGAGACCTCAGGGGCAACCCAGAGAGGGGACAGGACTTTTTTGTGGACTAGGGCAGAACTGAAACTCCAACAAAGGTTTCTGGCCTCTGTATCTAGCAGTCACCCTGAGCAGGGGGACCCACTTACCCCCGGTTTGAATGATGGCAGGCCTAGCCCCACACCAATGGTAGCCTTGTTGGGATTCACCACTGAATTGTAGTGGATATTCCGATGGTAGCTGACGCGAATGGGTTCATCCTCATTTTGATGGATCCCATGGAATGTGTTAATGGGTTCTGCAGAGAAAGAGAAGGAAGGAGCATCCACAATGGGCCAGGCAGGGCAGGCTCGGACCAGGTGCAGTCAGTCGCTCACCTACCCACCACAGAAGTACCTGTGCTGTACTGGTACACCTCCACGGGCCGGTTGTACATCTCTGCCATGGCCTGCATCTCAATGTGGTTGCCATGGCAATTGTTTTTCCGCTTCCTGTTGATGTAGGTGGTGAAGTCCTCTGTGACATAGTTGGAGAAGTAGTCAGCATTCTTCATCTGCAGAACAGATTGGAAGGTCAAGGTCTGTAGGGGGAGGAGATGCACCCACACAGCCCCCACCCCAAGGCCTCTGCAGGGTCTCACCAGATAGTCCATGCAATGCTTTCGCACAACCTCATGCATGTCCTGGTCTCCATATACCTGGTCAGCTGTGGGGACAGGAGAAAGGAGAGGCTGGGGTTAAGAGTTACCACCAGAGAAGAGTTTGGAGTCATGGAACATCCTTGGTGGTGGAGGGCTGGGGGCCAGAGAAACGCCTTTTCCTACACTAAAGGCCTGGAGAGTGCTTGGCTTTGTGGGTTGGAATCGGGTCATGGAAAAAGAGGCAGGCAGGGACAGTCTTTAGGAACAAGAGTACAGGCGAGAGGAACACAACCACAGTCCTTTCAGGCAGATGAATTTGTCCAGGGCTTGCCCGGCCACTCAGACAAGTCAACAACCATTTTAAGTCCCCTAAGTGGCCTTGAGCACCAGCAATTCCACACTCCCCCTTCACTCTTCACACGAGGAAGCCAAGGTTCAGGGAGAGTTTATGGCTCCACCAGGGTCACACAGCAAGTGAGTCTGATGGATTCAACTCTAGAATCCAGTTTTCCTGACTCCTGGGAGCCAGCACGGCCTTTGTAGGATTAAAAAATAAAAAAGAAGAGACAAGAAAAACAACTGGGCTCCAAGCCCAGTTCTGCCAGGTACTAGTGAGCTAAATGACTAGAGGCAAGCAACCCAAGTGTCCCAAGCCTCATGTGCCTCACACATAAAACGGGAACAAGGGGGATGACTTCCTGGCAGGCCTCTTGTGGGATCAATGAGATAATGGGTGTAAGGTGACTAGCACAGGGCTTGGGACAGACCAGCCACTCAACATATTAGAGTCCCCTACCCATAGTGGGGCCTGAATATGGGGTACTGTGAAGGTGACAGAGGTGAGTAAAATCCTGCCCTTACCTGCAAAAAGCCAGTAATCTAGCAAGAGAAGTAAGACACATATGAACATCACTTAAGCTTAATTCAGGAAAGGCAGACTATGGCCCAAATGGTCTAGGCATTATGGGTTTTGGTCAAAATAAGAACCAGGCTCCTTCCGCCTCACTCTAGGATCTTCACACATGCCATTTCCTCTTTTCAAGGCTTTCTTTCCATCCTCCTCGGCTGCCTACTTGTCAAACACTCATGTGCTCTTTTTACAATTCCCCATCCTTCCCACCCTCTAGAGCACTTCTATCACCAGATTTATCAAAGATGTGTGCAGACTTCCTCTGCCTAAGCACTCTGACTTCCACTGAGGGCTGAGGACAGTTCACATCCAAGTCCACCCCAGCTCAGAGCCCGATACAGTACAGGAAATTGGGAAAAGCTTGCTGAGTGGATGGATAGGCTGGGGGGAGGCAGGGAGTCTTCTCCCTGGGAAACTAAAGTGGGCTTGAAAACGAGACCTGGCTGGTGTCCACTGGCTAAGACGAAGAGGGAATTTCCCTTTGTCTCCCCGAAGGACTGCTGCTCTGATGGGATCACCCTGGGGCACCGGGGCAGGGTCACATCCTGCACGGAACACCAGAGTTCTTCCATGACAGCCAGTCTGCCTCGGAAGAATTGCCAGAAGAACACCTTCGCCGCCCTCCCCCTTCCCTCCCTGAAGAATTCTGTGAGATAAGGAGAAAAATGCTACTTCTGAGATAGAAAACGGGGCCAATTCCTGTCTTAAGTCCTCTTCGGAGGTGCAGAGGCCTGAGGGGGTGGGTTGCTGTGAAGGCAGGAAGGGGTAGCCCCTTCACCGATGTAAACAAGGATGTGGGTTCTGTGGCCACACTCTCCCCCACCCCCCCAGCAGCACTTCCAGCAAGTCACGTGCCCTGCACACAGGCTGGGGGGCCCCTGCTACCGCCTTTCTTAGAAGCCAGGACCACAGAGCCCTCTGTGGCTGCAGAGAGCTATTTATGTAGAATGAGCTTGGGGTGCTGAGGAGGCAGTGCTGCACGCAGCTGCAGTAAACAGGAACTGAGATGGGGGCAAAAGGGTTAAATAGGAGCCGGCCTACCAAGATCAAGGAGGTGGCTGAGATGTTCTTAGGGAAGGATCAACAGGCATTTGCAGGCCTGAGAGATGTATCTACCTGAGCTAGATGCGAGATGCAAGAAAATGGAGCAAACGGGAGGCTGTGGGACAGGGAAAGGAGCTGAGGGAAACTCATGAAGGTCCCCATGCTCCATTCCCCTGCCACTGTCTCCTCTGCTTTAGCAGAAAGGCTCTGCTGCCTCCTAGCTGTGTGGCACTGGACAAGGCCATCAAGCTTTCTGGGCCACAATGTCTTCTTCCACAAAGTGGGGAGAGTAACTCCTCTTCCTTTCACAGGGAGTTGTCAAGACTAGGGGTAGGGTTTGCTGAATGCCTAAGGTGTACTCATGTTCAAAAACTGGGGCTCCGTTTGTTATGAGTAAACGATGACTCTTTCTGATGGCCAACCAACCACAAGTCAGTCAGAATGTCACCGGAACCACTTATTAAGGCCTTCCTCATTTCTGTCACTTCCTCAGCCAGAGGAATGCCCCAAACTTGGGAGTCTAGGCTGTCCCTCCTCACACAGGCAGGACTGGCTTCTCTACCTTTACTGAATTCAAAGGTCCACTGGTCCACCTTCTGTATCTATAGTTCAAATCTTTAGTAACCAAATTAACATCAAATCAATAATACAGGCTTCACAAAACAGAGCCCTTAAGTGTGACTTTACTTTCCTACCTACCTCCCTGTAAGATATCCCCTTCTCTCCTCAATTCTAAGATGGACTGATAGGTGGTACCGTTCATGCATTTAAATCACAGCTTTGGTTAGGGGTGGTGGTGGCATGGCATGACCCACCTATCTGATTATAAGATATACCCCAGTTTGGGGATCATCCACGTGGAAGAAAACATGTGTATCTGAACCAGTGAAACAGAGCAATAATACCTCCCCAAAAAGGGAGAGGAGAAGGGTCTTTACAGTGATCTAAGGCAGGGAAAAGCATCCAGGGCAGGGTGAAAACACAGGCAGCCCTCACCGAGGCGGTGCTTGCCTGACTTTGCTAGCCCCACCTCTGTCCTCCAGAAAGCCTTCCTCCTCCCAGAGGGTAGGCATATGGGACCAGGGGCTGGGCTAAACTGGACTTCCCTATGGGGGCCAAGGTGGGAGAAACGGCCAATGGACCTGCAGAGGTAGGGGAATTCAGAGAACTTGTTTTGATAGAAACTGAAACTCCTCTTCTTGCTGACGCTGCACTTGTGGGCAATGTGCACCTGCTCTCCCTTCCCAGAGTCCAGCTGAAGGGGGTCCCCCACTACCTCACCTCTGTCACCAACCCAAAGAGGGCTCGGAAATCTAGACAGTACTACAATTGATTCCACTAAGGCCTTTTCACGTTCCAACTTCTTCCATCTTCACTCCAAAAAAGCTCTACTTTACATAGGAGGGATACTGAGGTACAGAAATGCAACACAGCTGGCCCAAGGCCACACATCTGGGAAGGTGAAGCCAGGTTCTCAAGGAATAATGGGTGACTTCAAACACTGATGCTCTGGGTGATGCTACCACCACTCCCAATCCACCTATCACCTTAGCCACCTGACTGCCTAGGGCAAGGCCTGATTCTATCTGCCTCAGTTTCACCACCAGCACAAACAGGAATCAGCTGGAACCCAAGAAAGGCCTGGGAATGGGCAGAGATTACAGAGGTCAGGACCCTGCACCTGTCCTTTCTCTGATCACGCTGAAACACCACACAGAAATGCATATGTGCGTGTGTGTGCGCGCGCGCACGCGCACACACACACACACACACACACACACAGGCAGCAGATCCTGCCAAAGACATTCCATGAGGCCAAATACCCATACCACCCTGACAACTACAGAGACCTATTGCATTCAACAAGTAGTTGCCCTTGCCGCTAACCAAGAAAGACTAAAGGCTGGACAGAGGCAAGGCTGTACAAACTGAGGACCCCCACCTCCTTCCTACCCTTTGCCAGGGGCTTACTAGGAAGGAGGAATAGCCAATAGCTCTAACAGACTTGCCTCAACCTCCTTCCCCTCCTGCCTGGGGGTAGGTCCCCCAAACCTCAGTAATCCTTCCTCCTTAGGCTCCCTAAAATAAAGTCACTATTTGCCAAAGAGTTATGTGCAGAAGCAAGACAGCAGAGCCTGGATAATCTAAAGTTTAATTAAGCACAGGGCTCTACCATTTGTTTTAGAGGCACCTGGGACCTGCCTCCCCGCCAGGCTGCTGCCTGCCTGCCTGCTAGAAGAGCCACAGCAAGTTCTGCTGAGGACAGAAAAGGAAGCTTGGTGTCTGCAGGGAATCTAAAAACAAACCACACAAATGTGTGTACACACAGCAGCAGGGGGAGACAAGAACCTGATCTGTTTCTCACTTGCCTCCTGGCCCAGTGTGAACTCCAGTCCCACCAAAGAGATGAGCCACAAAAAAAGGACTCACCTGCCTATCAAGCAGCTGTGGTGTGCACCTGGCCCGTGGCCCCAAATGGCACACCTTCAGTGGGGGAGACGTCCTCAATTATGGGGAGACAGAACTCAGTCCTCTTGACAGCCTGTCTCTGAGGCAAAATTAATCAAAGATCCATCCCTCCAATGCCGATGGTCCAGGCTAATGTTTCTGGGGCTCCACTGTTGTTAACACATACAGCTCCAGCTCTTTCCTCATGGCCCATGAAGACAGACACACGTGTGGCCTCCACTTTGCCCACAGAGGCCAGGGCCAGGGCCAGAGGTTTTTGCTGAGTCAAAGCCATGTGGGGAGAGGGCAGAAGGAGAGAGGCAGACTCATGTTTCCAGGAGGAGGTTATCTGAACACAGCAGGAGCAGGGTGGGCCACCAGATACCTCAGGAACTTAGGCTTCTACTTCCACTCCACCCAAGCCTTCACTGATGCTCACAAGTCCCCAACAAGGGGTAGTGGGAGAGAGCAGTGAATACTGGTTCACACTACGGACGCCTGGACCACAGAGATTAAAACAGAGGGTAGAAAGCCACCTGCCTCAGGATTCCCAAGACTAGAGGACTACAGGCTCCTAGTTGGTGGAAGTAAGGCCCCAGAGAGCTCAAGGAATATAGCTGAGGTAACCCAGCCAGCCGACTGCAAAGCTGAGAAGGTAGAACTTTCCGAGGGTCACAGAAAGAATGCGCCCTTGGGACAACTCTGGGTCCTCATGCCAGCTCTACCACTAATGACCCTGAGCATGTTACTTCCCTTTCCTGAGCCTCAACCTTCTCACCTGTCTCGTGTGATAATGATCCCAATTTTGCAGGTGAATCTGAAGCACCAAGCTGAATGCCAGCAAACAAAACAGGGTCAACAAACAAGAGAGTGGTCTCTGTGTGTGCATCAATCCCCCCTCCAACTCCAACCTTCATTGATGTGCTCCTTCCACTATTCAATGCATAGCAGGAAGTCAGAACCTGTAGGCCTTCTCACCAGAGCTCAGGGCAACTACCACCTGTCCCTGTACAAGCTAGGTTAAAAAGCAGAGGGGCAGCAGAAAGCCTGAAGACAAAGTCTCCCTCTTGGGCACATGTCCTATGCACTTTGCTGCATGGAAACCTCCAGATGAGGCCTGGAGACCCACGAGCCATGTACTTCTAGAGAGAGGCCATGGGGCTTCTGAGGTTTTACAGAGAAAAGCCAAGGGCAGCCCAATGGGGGGAAATGGGTAGCCATAGTGCTGATAGGGAAAGGCCTTCAACCTGCCGTGGTCATCTCTTCCTATAAGCTCAGGCCCTTTACTGGAAGGCCTAGGACGGTGGGGGGAGGGGGTGTCAGAGGGTGCTTGGGGAGGTCAGCTAGATGGACACACATGAAAATATTGCTGTTGATATGGGTTACTGCCTAAGCCACGTCTTTACTAGCCCCAAGATCTGCCGCAAAGACTGCCCAAGACCAAGATACCCAGGTACCTTCTCTTACATTCACTCCACCAGTAGCCCTGTTTATCCCACATCTTGCCTGAGGTTTCAGCACAGGGCCTAGCACCTAAAAGGCCCCTACCTATTCTTTCTTTGGTCCAAGATGCCCCCAAACCCAGCACTTTCTCTAGGAAACATTCAAGGAGAACACAAACTTGAACCACAGGGGGAGGAGGATTGGGATTTTTCCCAGGCCAGCAGAGACCACTGCCTGAACCTCTTCCCCTTGGTAGAACTAGGAGGCAAGCACTCACCACCCCACATAAACTTCTTCCACCCATTTAACAAACATTTGTGGCTCTGAGACACCACTGAAAACAGCATTCAGGCTTTACTGGTTCTGGAGGGCCTACTGGCTGTCAGGCGCTAAAGGGATTTATTAAAGTAATCTCGTTTATTCATTACAACACTGGGTCTCTCAGTCTCCTGTTACAGCCTTGGAAATAGACTCAAGAAAAAAAGAGCTGGTTGCCCAAGTTCACACTAAGAAAACAGTAGCACAGCCAAAAGTGGAGCCTGAGTCAGTCCAGCCCACCAGTAGTCACTGGGGGCTAGCCACAGAGAGGACGGCAGACCTTGTAGGGATTCAAGGAGTCCTTCAGAATCAATGCCATTTAACAGATGAGGAAACAGAAGTTTTTGAATCAGGGCCAGAACTAGAAGATAGTGCTTCTGACTCCTAGCTCAAAGCTGCTATCAGAGGACCCTTCTTCTTAGAAGATTATCAGAGCCCCAATGGAAGGGTCAGATCACATTCCCCAATTTCCCTGGACACTAGCATGAGGCCTTACAACTGCCTACTGGGTCACAGGTTCAGAGCCAGAGGGAGCTCAAAAACATTCCTCAGACTGGATAATTGATGGTATTAAGGAATTATGAATGTTGTTAGGTAAGATAATAACACTTTGGTTAAGAAAAAAGAGAAAGAGGGGCGCCTGGGTGGGTTAGTCGGTTAAGCGTCCGACTTTCGCTTAGGTCATGATCTCGCGGTTCGTGGGTTCATGCCCCGCGTCGGGCTCCGTGCTGACTGCCAGCTCAGGGCCTGGAGCCTGTTTCAGACTCTGTGGCTCCCTCTCTCTCTCTCTGACCCTCCTCTGCTTGCACTGTCTCTCTCCCTCTCTCTGTAATAAATAAAACATTAAAAAATTTAAAAAAAAGAAAAAAGAGAAAGAAAGAATCCTTATCTGTCAGAGAAACATACATAAATATTTACATATGAAATGACCCAATGTTGGGGTTTTGCTTTAAAAATACTCTTGCTTCAGGAGAGTGAAAAAAAGCAGACAAAGCAGTGATAAAACAAGGCTGGCCAAGTGTTGATGACTATTTTGAAGATGAATGATGGGTACATAAGGATTCACTAGTCTACTTCTGTGCAGGTTTTAAAAAAAATTCCATGGCCCCAGGATGACAGAAGTGTGTTGGGGTTAAGAGCACGGGCCTCAGACTAACCTAACCCAGAGACTCCCAACTCTTCTATGTACTACCTGTCCTGGGCAAGTCATTTCCCCACTCTAAACTGCTTTTCTCATCTGACAAATGGAAACTACAATAGTCCCTACACTTACCTAGCTTGGGGAAGAATTTAAAAGGGTTTCCTTTAGTGTCTGACAATGCAATCTTTCCCCAAGTATTGTTATTTTCGTTATTACTGTTATTATTACTTCTGTGCCACCACACTGCCTCGTGACCAAAGACTAGAGGCCAGATACTAACCTGAAGCTGGGACCTGGAGTTCCTGAAAGACCTGTAAACTGTACCCTCAACCCTGTCCCAGGGATTACTCCTAAAAATTAGAAATAGCTCAGGGGCATCCCTAGGCCCTTGAAGGCTGAGGCAGAGACTCACCTACAGCCCGGAAGAGACAGGCGCCGTCCTCCTTCATCTGCTTGATGATGAAGCCCTTCTTGTCCCTCAGGGCCTTTTCAAACCAGTGCTCCTGCTGGAGGAAAGAGGTGGGGGTCAGCAACAGGAAAGACCTGTACCCCCTCCCCATGGCCCTGCCCTCCAGTTCCTGAAGGGCCTAGCTAACTGGCAGGGTCAAGTTCCCAGCCCTGATCGACACTCCATGCCTGGAGATGAAGAGGAAACCCTTTCTTTTAGGGAATTAGTCATTGTGTGAGCAGAAGACTTGCTCCCAGAAGGGCCTCTGACTGACCCCTGCTATGTTGGGAATCAAATGACTGACCTTTCCATAGGTAGCTAGAGGCCCAGACCCAGCAAGTACCTGGGGGGTGGGGCGCGACAGTGGAGAACCTGGTTCTACCTGCAGGAGTTTCACCTGGGAACCCTCTAGCCACTTAGGGTAGGGAAGATGTTGAGGAAGGAGTAACTGAAAAGAGCCTAGATCCCAAGCCCTACATACAGCTAGGGAATGCCAAGATATATAACGCAAAATGCATGCAAGATCTGATCTCACAAATGAACAAGTTTAACATATGTACTTATTAAGTATATGAACATGTAACATGTTGTATGGAAGACCACACAACAAAATATCCCCTAAAAGTTGGCATTACAGGTGATTTTATTTGACCATCTTCATGAGAGGTAATGCAATCCCTTGTCCAAAATTCCAAAACCCAAAAAGGTTTGAAAACCAAGTCTTCCTCTAATTCATCTGCCATCATAACCTGACCTGAGCTGGTGAGAACCTATTTATCCCACTTGGAGGTGAACATTCAAACATTTCCATGCATAGATATTCAGGTGTTCATGAGATTCTGCCACAGACTCCACCAGAGGTGTTGCCTGACACACAGTATATACATCAGGTAATTTTTCGAAATTCTGAAATTTTTCTAAATTCCAAAGCACAGCTGACTGCAAAAGTTCAGGTTTAGTGAGCCTGGACAAATATGCATTTTCAGACTTAAAATTATGTAGGGGCGCCTGGGTGGCTCAGTTGGTTAAGCGACTAACTCTTGGTTTGGGCTCAAGTCATGATCTCACAGTTTGTAGCATCGAGCCCTGTGCTTACAGCATGGAGCCTGCTTGGGATTCTCTCTCTCTGCATCTCAAGAAATAAACAAACTTAAAAAAAATCTCTCTGGGTGCCTGGGTGGCTCAGTCGGTTAAGCGTCTACCTTCAGCTCAGGTCATGATCTTACAGTTTGTGAGTTCGAGCCCCACACTGGGCTCTGTGCTATCGGCACAGAGCCTGCTTCAGATCCTCTGTCCCCCCCTCTTTTGCCCCTGCCTCACTCTCTCTCTTAAAAATAAACTTAAGAAAAATCTCTCTCTCCTTCTGCCCCTCTCCCTTATTCAAACAAGCATTCCCTCTCTAAAAAAAAAAAAAAATAATAGATGAATAGGCAGAAAAAAAAGATATCTAGAGCACTGAAACTACTGTGAATGGTACTTTGTAAGTGGGTATGTGTCAGGGCACCTGGGTGGCTCAGTTGGTTAAGCATCTGACTTTGGCCCAGGTCATAATCTCATGGTTCATGGGTTCAAGCCCTGCATCAGGCTCCATGCCAACAGTGTGGACCCTGCTTGTGATTCTTTCTCTCTCCCTCTCTCTCTGCCCCTCCCGGACTCATGCGTTCTCTCTCAAATAAAACTTAAAAAATAAAAAAATAAAAGTGGCTACGTGTCATTATTCATTTGTCCAAACCCATAGAATGTACAACACCAAGGGTGAAACCTAATGTGAATCATGGACTCTGGGTGTTTGCAATGTATCCTACATGGACATCGATTGTAACAAATGCACCATTCTGGTGGGGGATGTTAATAAGGGGGGAGGATATGCATGTGTGATGGCAAGGGATATATGGGAACTGCCAGTTCAATATGAGAACTCTTCTGTTCAGTTTTTAATATTTTTCCCCAATGTTTGTTTATTTTGAGAGAGAGAGAGAGCGCGCGCGCATGAGCATGAAAGGGGGAGGGGCAGAGAGAGAGGGAGACAGAATGCAGAGTAGTCTCCAGGCTCTGAGCTGTCAGCACAGAGCCCAACAAGGGGCTCGAACTCACGAACCGTGAAATCATTACCTAAGCCCAAGTCAGACATTTAACCAACTGAGCCACCCACATGCCCCTCTTTTGTTCACTTTTGCTGTGAACCTAGAAGTGCTCTAAGATATTAAATTAAGTCTACTAAAAAATAATGTCCACGTGTCACTTAAAACATATTTTCCATTTCAAAACAAAACTAGAGGCAACAGACCTTTCTCGGGTTCCTCACGCCCTCTGCTGGCCACCAGAAGAAGCCAGCCTTAACCTAGCATCCAGGCTAGGGACCAGAAGGCCCAAGCCTGCTCCTTTGGGACACCACCCCACCCAGGGATTTACAAGATATGACTAGATTACTAGACATAGATCACCTCTCTACAGGCCACTTTTCCCCAGCTAAGGTGAGCAAGGGGAAACAAGGTGTACAAGGTCTGGAGGCCAAAAGCTCTGCATTCCAACCCCAGCTCTGTCACTCAACTCGCTGCATGATGTCAGGTACACTACCTGAACTCTCCAAGCCTCAGTTTCCTATCAAACGTGATATGTGATCTACCTGATGGAGCCATCAAGAAGCTCAGAGGATCTCTGGGGCGCCTGGGTGGCTTAGTCGGTTAAGCGTCCGACTTTCGCTTAGGTCATGATCTCGCGGTTCGTGGGTTCGAGCCCCGCATCGGGCTCTGTGCTGACTGCCGGCTCAGAGCCTGGAGCCTGNTCGGGCTCTGTGCTGACTGCCGGCTCAGAGCCTGGAGCCTGTTTCAGTCTGTGACTCCCTCTTTCTCTGACCCTCCCCTGCTCATGCTGTCTCTCTCTCTCCTAGAAATAAATAAAACTTTAAAAAAAAAAAAAAAAAAAAGCTCAGAGGATCTTCAAGACCTGAAAAGGCTTAGTAAATAACCTAAGTCACCAGCCACAGAAGGGTCAAGATTGGCACAGAGGCCATGCACAACTGAGAGGCCCTCAGAGAGTCCCAGGCTGAGTGGCTGGACACTTAAGGGATGAAGAGGGGGTGACCAGCGAATGCCCAACAGCCCCACCATTAGGGTCCACACCCCAGGAAGGTGTTGCCGGTGTTCCAGAGATGACAAAGGTACCCAGAAGCCCTTAATGGGCTCCCAAAGACAGCACAGACACTCCTGTTTGTGCACAACAGTCCAGCATCCAGATGCCTCTCTACAACCAAAAGATCGTAGACTAGCACACTCCAGCAAGTCCATCCCTGCCCTGCAGGGACAGCCATATCCCAACTCTATGGTGCGTGCTCTAGCCAGGGGTCACCTACTGGGAAGCTACAACTATGACTAAAGGTGCAGACTAGACAGAAAGAGAAGTTCTAAAAAATAAGGGCACACAGGAACCTCCCGCCCTCAAGTGTGTGTGTTGGGGGGGGGGGAGACAAGGTTGAGGTGATCAAAGAGGATGAGAAGGGCCCCTACATATGTATCCAACAAAAGTTTACCAGGCAGCTGGTAAGTTAGACCCTGTCTATACTAAGGCTGGCAATGAGGACAGAGAAATGAATCAAACTTGGTCTCTACTCGATAAGCTCACAAACTGCCAGGGGTGGAGAAACAGGGAATGACCACACACAGTGTGAGCAGGGCAGTGAAAGAATTGAACACACGGTGCTACGAAACACAGAGGAAGGGACCTGGCCAGTCATTAAGGCTGGCACCTGAGCAGAGGTGCCAGCTGACCAAAGGATTAAAACATGTTTGTTAACTGGGTAAGAAATCACTTCTAGGGACACCTGGCTGGCTTGTTTGGAGGAGCATGTGACTCTTGGTCTTGGGGTTGTGAGTTTGAGCCCCATGTTGGGTGTAAAGATTACTTAAATTAACTAATTAAAAAAAATCATTTCTGCCACAAAGCACCAGGGACGCCAAAGGACCAGCAATGACTCCAGCACAGCTGAAGTCGGGGGGGTAGGACTCTGCAGGTAAGCAGGGTGGGGCCAGGAAGAAAGATGAACTCATATTAGCCAAATGCCTGCACCATGCCAGGTACCTGATGCAAAAGGTGACTTTATTTAATTGTTCTCACCACAGCCCAGCTGCCAGTGAGTATTATCCTCATTTGACAAAGGCAAAAGAGCTGGGGTTTGGGCACCAGCAAAGCCTAGTATAGAGGTCATAGGAGAGGCCTCATGAGCCACAGCATGGAGACATACCTGGCAGCCCATCCTAGGAAAATCCTGGTTTGTCCCTAAAAATGAAGTCAGCCTGAATCTGGAGGCCAGACCACAACCTACCCACTGGCTTTGGCACCAGCAACCTTAAGGGCTTGGACTCTGACTGAAACCGTGCCTTTCCCTTTGGGGAGAGAAAACAGGAGGTCATGGTCCTGAGCTCCAGGAGCCTCTAGCATAGTCTCCTCCTTCCCTCATTTGGACAGGAGCCTCTGAGAAAGATGCCAACTTGGGAACGGTTTAGGAAAGTGGCTCAGGAAGGAAGGCTGGTGGGAGAGGGGGCGGGGGCTAGCCCTGCCATTGCTAGGTCTAAGTTACAATGTTCTAGCCCGATAAAGTCAAGTCCAGATCCTGAATCTTACAAGGCCACTGCTGAGCCTGTCAGCGAGTCCCTCCCATATCTCTGAGCCTCCATAAGGGGGCTGGACAAAGTTCTCTGACATCAGGAGGTTCCAGGAGCAAGACTTTGCAACCTACTGATCCAAAGGCCCAAGAGAAGTTGAAGCAGATTGTGGGACCCAACTGATTTAGGTTAAAACCCAGCTCCACCAATTATTAGCCATGTGATGAACCACTCTGAAAACTCCACAGTATTCCAATCTGTGAAATAGGATAGCAAGCTTCCCAGTAATAGGGTCACTGGACAGACTCCAATATTACATGACTTTAGCCAGTAGATTAGCACTTAATGGATTCCCTTCTTCTCCCTGGAAAGGAAACAAGAATACCTCTACAGTACACTGAATGATAACCACCCACAGGTATCAAAGGCCCTAAACCTGGAAACTGTAAATGGTACT